CATAACGTGTGTTTTCGTAGGTTGCCTATAATCTTGCGTCTTCACACCGTAAATTGTGCTGTTTTTCCATTTTCGTAAATTCGTTTGGCTTAACTGTCTCTACAATTTTCGACAAAACGCAGTATTTTTTAAGGCGCTACATCTATCCAGGTGTATTTTGGCACAGAAGTAGAATTTTCATCTCAAGAAAAATATTCTCCGAACATCATAAGAAAGTTCATGCTTAAGTCTTACTTCCGTAACGGCCAGCAAGTCATTGGTCAACGGGTATATGAAACCTGACCCTGTTTTCAGGAATTTCGTAAAAAATTCTCTGCTGATGTTGTTTTCGAAATTAATCTTTCAGTTATGTGATAAAGTTATTTCATGAGACTGGTAGCATTAAGAGTAAATCAGGAAGTCACACATTAACAATACAAACTCCAGAGGCTGTTCAAATGTCCGACAAGTTATGGATCATAACTACCACATTCAACTTGTCAGAAAATTGTTAAAATGGACCTGATGTTTTCCTACAAAATTCATGTGTTTCAAGAACTTAAACCACCGGACTATAAAAAGAGAATAATTTATTGTTACTAGTTTAATTAAAAAATAAACAAATCCTCATTATTTTGAAGAAACGGCACGAAAAATTGGAGTTTGTTGTGCCATTTCTCAAAGACGGCTATTTTGGTCGATTTTCTTCGAGGAGGAATTTATTAATCAGCTTGTTGTCGAAGAATGTAGAATGGATATTTTCAGCATGACGGCGCAACAACTCATACAGCTCTAACAACTTTGAACTTTCTAAGGGAATTTTATGACGACCGTTTAATTAATTCTCACACAGACCATATTATACACATACCACCTCGATCACCTGATTTGACACCTTTACATTATTTCATGTTCCCGAATATGAAAAACACTATTTTTAAACAATCAGTGATTACAATTGAAGACCTAAAATTGAGGATCAAAAAGAATGTGAAAATGTTTCACCGAAAGTTCTTACTCGAGTATTTGAAAGTATGAAACGCCGAGTCAATTTATGTATCGAAGGAGCAGGACAACACTTCCTGCAATTGTTGTAAATTCAATCAAATATGTTACTTATCACAAATAAATCATTTTAAATCCAAAGAGGGTTTAGCTCTTGCTAACATAACATAACCTAGCGTTCTAAGTTTAGCCACACATAATCCATATTTCGGCTATGTTGTGAAATTGTGAATTCGCTAAAATAATACACATTTTAAGAACAAAGTGGATTAAATGCTAAAGATAAAAAACTGTATTAAGTTACGACGTACTTTTCGGTCGAATTTATTCTATCAACAAATTCTTGAGTACCTAGATCATAACTCAAAAAAATCGAGTGTGCCGAAACAGTTAATTATTACCATTATTCAAAAATCGATTTTTTTCTTAATTTTGCCTACTGAGATATGCTGTTAGAGTAACAGAAGTTACTGATGATACTTTCACTTTTTGACACATTCGGTTTCACCGGAGATGTCCCCTTTGTTAATGCAACATGATCTATGTTTTTTATTTTTAAATGTAGAATAAAAAACTAATTACGTTCAGGAATATTAAAATCAAAAGTTTAATATCTAGATTTATAGGTCGATTCTGTAACAATCAGTTAACATTATGTTATTTTAAATTTCTGTTATTAAAATTGCTATGTTATCAGGACGTTAACATAAAAGAAGAAATGTCGTATTCTGTAAACCGTTATGTTAGTACCTAAATAACAGATGTGTCATTTGTCCGAAAATGTTATTTTTCGAAGTAATGACACCATTTTCATCATCTGTCACTGTCAAACAAATACAGCACGAAAATGTGTTTTTTCATAAAATTTTTGCTTAGTAGATATTATCGCTTCTGCTGTCGTTGAGAACTAGATCCAGACAGGCATTAAAATTTCACTAATTACGTGACAAATTTAAGTCATGACCCTGCTAAACGATGGTTAACTCATGGCAACAGAAGAAGACATTCCTACGCAGTGTTGGTATGGAGCCATTGCCTAAGAAGTTCAATGTGGCTAAAATTTTTAAGTATCCCGGAATACCACTGGCACGTAGCTTTCCCAAATGAGGTTGCAACCTCTTCAGTACGAAACGGGTCATGTTTTTGCTAAAATGAAAGGACTTTCTAAATTCCGTCTCTGTTAAATTTTCAAAGGAATTTTGATTGTCGCAAAGCTCCGTCAGCCGAATTCTCACTCTGTTCATATAATACATGTATTGTTATATTTTTAGTAATACTATGATATGAAAGACCTACCGTTGAATTTCGTCTTCTAATAATAAGTAACCGAAGACGGGTAGAAAATCATCCACTTCTGTCATTTTACTTCTTTTGCCACCTCAGTCAAATTTGTGATATTATTAATTAATAAACCTCAAAATAACCGCATTATGTTAATAACATTGACTCAAATGTCTCTGTTATTTTACAGAGTATTTTAATAACATAATGTTATTAACATAACAGAAAGAAGCTTAGCGAATTGCAATTTATGTTAAATGTGTTATTACATAGCAACAACAGAATGTTAGCTGTGTTTACATAGTGATAACAGAATGTTATTAACATAACAAGTTACAGAATCGATCTATTAGACACGTTAGGATACAGAATCGTGTTGCTATAGCAACAAATGAAAATAAATCAACTTGTTTCACAATTCGTTAGTATCTGATGTTAACATTACTTATCGTATTTATTAAGACTGAAACAAGTGAAAACGAATTGACCAGCAGTTACTTACTTAGAACTTCATATTCAGCGATATTGAAGCAAGTCGTGTTACTGATTTGCCACCCTAAATCAGCTAGTGGTGAAGAAAATAAAGTCAGTGTATTATTAGCCAATGCGGAAAATCCTCAAGTTTCCTCACGTCAACTATCATTAGATTATGATGAACATTTTTAAATCGGAAAAGTTGAAACCTTACAAAATTCAATTTGTCCACGAGCTGCTTGAAGTGATCCAGACCGCAGAGTGCAGTTTTGTGAAGCTGTCAAGGGGACGATTATGACCAAACGTAACTTTTTAGACAGAATTGTATTTGCAGATGAAAATGTTGTCTTAATAGTACGGTAAAATAGGCACATTGCTCAGGACCAATTTTCAAAAAAAGTTTATTTGAATTTATTAAGCAAGGCAATTGATAATGTCTGCTCCTTATAAGATGAAGCTCCCTGTATTTTGGGTTAGGTTGACACAATTATTTGGGTGAATTATTTCCAGCGAAGTAAACTTGCTGAAGAAAAGGTATTATTAAATGACCTGCCCTTTCAATCGACTAGTCGACGCTCAACTTTTTTTGTGGGAACATTTTTGAATTGTAAGAATATTTTGCACATTTTTTATAACTCAAATTGAAATTATGATTACGTTCTAAAATCTTGATCTTGAATTAATAGTCATGATTTAGTTCATTATTTTATTTTTATATGAATGTTGATTAATACAATTTTTTACTCTTAAATAACTTCGGTAGAACCGAAATTATAAAAATATATACACACAATCTCCAAAACTACGACCGGTTTCACTATTGTGAAGTTTTGGGTTCGTGTAGGTGGTAAACGCTAACCAAAATTTGATTGTTCATTCCCGCTTAAAATTAGATGATGTCATCTCAGAACTTTGCTAAGTAAATCTCCTGAAATTTCCATTCTCCTTGATCTGCGGTTTAATAATGTATCCGCGATACGTCATGATAATGTTGTATTATACATACTTGAACTAAATTATTTATCATAAACAAATCTTTATCGAAGAATACGCTGTGAGGTGCACGCAGAATTAGTCAGATTTGAGTTTCGAGAGTTCTTTCCAAATAATGTTAAGACCATTTTTTTTTTAAGATGGCCAGTAGGTACATGTAACCTTAAAAATTGAATTACAAAAACGCAAGTTGTTATCATTTTAGCAATCCCGCCATAACCTTAAGGCACGTGTGAAATTTGAAACTAATCGATTCGTGGTTCGGATATAATCAGTCTAAAATTGTACCAATAGACAGACCGCAGAAAGCAAGACGGGCGAACAGGGAAGACTGTCCTTAAGTCGTCCATGAACTCACCCATTACGTTATTATCGTTGTTATTTATCATTGTTATACAAATTAAAACAAATATAAACCTCAATACTAGTGTTTTGTATCAATATATATCCGTTTAAAAACAGACACAAGCAGTATCGTACTGAGTGAATGTGCCAGATGCGATACGTAGAAAAAGGCGGGAATTAGCATTTGTTTAAGTGTGATCTACTTACAACTACTTTAGTTTCGACACAACAGTCACAAAAAAAGAAGCAAAAAATTCTCAAGTCGACAAAAAATGTTGTCACTTCACTTGTCGCTTGTGCTGCAGAATTTATCCCTGTTTTTTTGGCACTCCTGAATCCGCCAACTCTGATCCATAAACAGTCAATCGTTTTTTGCGTGAAGGAAAATATCGAACGCACTTGTAAAGCCCAGAAATGCAAATCCTCGTGACTGCTTATTAAAATCGGCTCCAAAAATAACCGCGCGATAATAATCATCAATTATTCAATAATCTAGCCGGAGGAAGAGATTAAGAGGCAATCCCAAAACAATGACCGAGATAAATTCCTCCTCGAACCGAGATAAATCGCTACACTCCCCAATAAAATCGTACGTAACGTTGATAAGGCGCAACATTACCGAAAAGCGCCTTCCCAGTGAAAAACATAAAAGTGGGAGTGGTTTTTTTTTAATCTTCTCCTCGAAGGAGAGCGCCCTCGCCTCGGCTCCTCTTATCCCGAAATTCCCGTGTAACCCTTCCGGGATCGATGTCAATTTGAAAAATCGTTAAACCCGCCATAAAAAATCGCCCCGTCCCCGGGACAATTAAGGTTATCGCGCGGACTTGCCGCCGCTTCCGCCGGAAGCGGCGTCGGGGCGGACGGCCCCGGGGGCGGCCGCCCCCGGCGCATACCAAAGAAAAAAATCGTGCGAAAATACTCACTTATCGGGCACAGGTGTAAATCTATTTCAGGGGGTCAGTAGTTGTTTTCGGTTTCGTGAGTGAAGTGGGCGATGTTTTGACAGAACTCTTGCCGAAAACGGTGGGCACTACACTTACACACCTGTTTTTGACAATTCGATGTGCATGTTATCATTAAATCTCGGAATTTCGCGATATTTTTAAACACAAACACTGTGTGCTGTCAAACGAGCTCCATGACAGTTCGGACTGAGCACGTGCGCGCGCACCGGCAAATGCGCACTGGATCGGGGATTTTTAATTTTAAAAATGACGGGGTCGGGCGACGAAGACGCGGAATTGTTGGCGCGGGAAGAGTCGGGAGTTTGCTGGAATTTCGCTGGGATAAGGCATTCACTGAAAGGACATTGCAATCAAATTGCTTGGATTTGTCGAATTTCGACTCTGTCTACTGCGTGGGTTTACAAATTTCGTCATATCTAGTAACCGGTGAACAGGGATACAGAACCGGCTTCAGGGATCAAACGGGAAAGGATACAATTAAGTCCGCATATTTCGCATTTTACCTTTCCATCAATAACCGAAGAAACTATTGCAACGATGTCATTTTCATTAATGTATAATTTCATGCTTTCTTGGTGTTGTAATGGCTCGTGCGAAAATGTAGGTTTTCCGCTTCCTGCTGTCAGTTTCACAAACCCTGGTAAATTTATTAGGCTGAAAATATTTCCCCAAAATAAGAAATTAACCAACTCTATCTCTCTTTAATGACAATTAACTTAACTTTCAACTTTAATTCATAGTTTTTAAATGGTATATTCACAAAAATAATCATCAGTGAATAAGTTAACACATTTAAAACATATACAACAAAGAATTCTTATTGTTACCTGGTGTCCTAATTTACCCACTTTACTAACCCACTTATTTAAAACTTCTCAAAAATTTAAAACTTCGTGTGAAAATTTATATATAAGTAGTTAGAATTACAATCAGTCTAGTGTTGGCACTCGGTCGGTAGTAGTTCTCCAGCAAATGAAATCGACTTTCCTCAAATAGAACGGGCATGTAAATACCGTGCGATTGAAAATAAAACGAATTAGATTTGCCTGTGAAAGCAGTTTCATAGTTCGCACCACGGCAGACCTGACACTTATATAAGTTATGTATCATTATGTCCTACACTCTATGAAAAACATTTGTTTGGGAAACTGGAAACAATGTAAAGACACACAGTCACTAATTTAGGTCAAACTGAGAGCAAAAGTACCACCCAAAAAACAATTAACAATACAGTACTTGTTAAAGTACTCATTTTTGCATGTTTCCTAAATATTTTTTGTTTTACGAGTATATCTTAAGAAAAAAACGACCTTTATTCACAAAGCCGTATTTTTGCTCAGTAGCTAACTAGAACTACTTTAAATTTAATAAAAGACAATTTGTTCAATTCCTGAGGATTCCTTAGGATTCCTTAGATCTTTAACATCGTCACAAAATGGAAATCCAACGAATGAATTATACCATTTTGTAAACCATGCAGTAAAATTTCAAATTATCAGTGCTTTTGTCTGATTAATCCTGATAATAATCACCGAAACTATCGCACCGATTACTTTGAAATTTTACGTGAGGTTTAACAATCCACTGCTATTTTTAACTGCATGCTTGCATATCGTTTTCAAATAAAACCAACTTTGGACAACAAAATGAAGTATTTTTTGATATTATTTGAAGAACCGATAACATAATCCTAGAAAATTATGAAAAACATCCTTATTAAAATATGCGATATTCAGAAAGCTAATTTTAAACAGTGTTTCAAACTTTTACTTTCTATACTAAATCGGAGGTTTCCAGTTTGCGTGTATTTCCATATAAGTTTTTCAGAATTTGAAAGATCTGTAATTGTAGTACCAAAGTTTAGCGGCTTTTTGACGTTTCAAGTTATTGTTAACTTTACAAACTGTTGTTTATTTCTGAAATGCAACACACAACATAGTTTTTTTTTTATTGAACGATATATTTATATATGTTTTCCATATTCTGATTTGTTTATTTATTCTTGAATTTTAAAAGCAAATGTTATTTTATATGCCAAGTCATTCCAATTCGACAATGCAAAGGTTTAAATAAAAATTGCAATTTGGTTATTCTTAAAGTTCGTGTAGCAAAATTTTTTGCTATGCCAATAAACTGATCTTTACTATACAGAGTGTTTACAAAAAAATTGCTCAAAATATAATATTCAAATAGTACTTCCTATTTTACATTTAGCACACCGTGGATTTTATTACGGTACCTTGCTCTATATTTTGGTATGTGTATTTCTAGTATTTCTTGGTAGTATGTATTTTCTGTACCTACGATTTTTCAAGATTTTCAAAAAAGATGTACCAAAATATATATCATATGTGAAGATTTGAAAGTTATACTATTTGAATTACACTAATTTTAGTGTATACTCTTTAAAGAGCTTTATAACTTTACTTTTTAACTCTTTACTTCCCGAAAATAAGCAGCTAATGTTCTTCATGGTTCGTAGGGTATGAAAAAATAAGTCTCCAGTTTCCATTTGTCTATTCTATCGTCAGTCTGACCGTGTATTACACAGACAATTTTCGAAACCACTGGACCGACTGTGTCAAATTTTACATGTATTTTAAGACTATCGTATAGATGGTAAAAGGCTAACCTAAATTGGTCTAATGAATCTCCCCACCAACAATGTGATGACATCACAATTTTTGTATAATAAATTATATATAAATTTCACAGAATAAAATACTTTTATTTTGAACCAGTTGTTAAATGTAAACCATTTCATTTGATTTTTAATAGATAAACAACTCTTTTCTTTAATTTGCTATCTTCGCATTAGCAACAACTACAGTGTTGTATGGAGTGTTGTTGCTTTCATCAAAATACATTTCTCTGCTCTTCGAAATATTTAGAAATCGTTCTTGTTTATTACGACTAAGTTGAGCTATTGCCAACGTGATCGTTTTTGCCAGGGTGTTTAAAAAAATTCGCCGTAAGTTGAATTTAAGTTAAGTTTAAGTTAATGACGTAAAATTTAAAATCTGGTACAAAATAAAATGCTACATTATGCACAACGATAAAAAGGGCGTATACCTATACTCGTGAAAACACTTTGTCACTCTAGATGGATAATCTTCTCTTTATGTATGTATAATAAATTGCTACATATTATATTTCTGCTTCACAGATCCACGTTTAATTTTTACCGTAGATTTTTTTAATTTTATGTGAACGAACGCCGTACTTTATAAACATCGTATGCCGAATTTTGTAAATTCTGACACCGCATTTTATAATTTTTTAACGTTGTACTTTAAAAACGATGATTGCCGTACTCTGTACATTTTGTACAACGAACGCCGTTTTTTATAATATATATTTTATACAGAGTGATGAAAAAATGATAGTAAGTTGTTAATGATCTGTATGTCTAATAGACAGTTAAATAATTTCTCATGAATAATTTAATAATAATTAACCAGAATACGATCTTCGTCATTTTTTGCTGTTGACACATGTCATTTTTGGCAATTTTATCGGAATTTTAGACTGTCAATTAAATTCACGTTTAAACATATCAGAATTTCGATGTTAATTCTTCAACTTTAGTTTAATATTTTCAAAAATTTGGTACAGGGATTTTTTTTAAGCATTTATTTCGAGTCCTTCAAAGCCTTATTAACAACGTACCATCGAGCTTATACGTCATTTTTTCATTACATTGTATTGAGCCGACGCCCTACTTTTTATGTTTCAAACACTCTTTTGTAAATAATGTCAGTGTACGCTGTACTTTCTAAACTCGTACTTTATAAAAGTTGCACGCCGTGCTTTATAAACTACGAGGGCTGTAAATTTTTATTTTAAATTCTGAACTTTGAATTTCTTAGTACATATACAGAGCTACTCAAAAAATCATGTATCAAGGATTTGTTTTTTTAACAAATCAAGACCGGTTCATTCGCTTTTCCTAAAAATTTTGCAAAACTGTATTATTATTATTAGTATTACTAAGCACCTATTCAAATTGATAGGTGTCCTTGCTAAAGGATGTTGACAACTCAAAATTGTATTATAAAATGCACGCATAGCCTGTTTTTTATCTATACTTTAACACTGACATCTTTATTTTAATTTCCAGTGATTATCATGAAAAAAATAAAATTCCCAAATTCAAATTTCATCATTTTTCCAAAAAGCTGGACTCGACTTAAGGCGCGAGGGAAGTTCTGTCTAATACATTAAACCAGTTTTTTTGTCTGAAATAATTATTGAACCAATGAAAAGTAGGTGAGTAATGCCTCAGCCAAAAATGAAAACCTCACATGACACTTCGTCCAACAGTTATTATTAATAGACGTTTAAACAACATTAAAATATTCAGAATCAATCGGTAATTTTATTACACAAAGGAAAAATTAAAAACAGAAGGAGATGGTTCTAAAAATGTATAGGTGTTTGTTAATATTGCAGTTAATGTTAAATTTTTCTCAATAGATTAACAGGGACATAAGTTTAACCTGTTTTCAAAGAATTTTAAACAAATTTATCAGCTAAATTAATGTCAAAAAACCAAAGGTGTATTAGAACCCATTAGCCTACGAACCCACGACTGGTCCTATTCTGAAACCTGCAAATCTCTATCGAAATAATAGAAAATAAACCCACATTAAACTACTAAAAACTCATGAACTTCGCTCACGTAAAAGAACTTGTTGAGTTCGAAACATTTTTACCTACCATTTTCCTGAAACTGAGCATTCAAGCAATATTCCTACAGTTACATAACTGTTTCCGCCATTGCTGAAACAGCATTTTCAGTTCTACGAGGTAGATAACCTGATGTAAATTTCGCATTACTGTATTGAGAAAACAAAGGCTCCTTTAAGAAAATTCAAAACAGGGAAAATTGTCATGTTTAACAAATTAGAGTCCACGTTGTTTCTAGTTCCATTCTCTCATGTTCATGGACATAATTTTAATTTTTGCAAACTGAGGTAAAATGTTAAAGCAATGTTGTTGGTTCATTGGTTTCAAAATTTAACAAGAACCTGTAACTTTTGAATCGTCGCTGATTAAATAAAACGTGTCCCTAAATACACACATTACCTGCAAGCTTTGAACGAAATCCCAGTTTTCGCGGCAACATTATTTCCCGAAAATTCGTGCAATAGCCAGCACGAATTATCGGATTCACAGCGTGACGCCGATTTGGTCGATACTAATTATCAAATTTATGCAAAACGTTCATCCACGATTTTGTTTCTGCTTTTTGTGTTGGCAGTTTTGCACGTCACAGCTCGATTGACGTACGTTTTGACATTGACAGACGGTAGCTTGAGTGCGTTAAACGAGTATCATTTATTTCTATCTATCGATATGAACTTTGTTCCGGTTTAGAGCTCGGAGTCTTGAGTAAACCCGGAACACTGACTTTGGGCAGCATTGATCCGGTTGTAGCCCCTAGTACACTATTTTTAAACAGAGGTCAGCTCGAGCTTTTGAGCTTTTTGACACGATTAACGCAGGGTTATTTTTACCACTTTTTATTCATTCCAGACGATACAAGGCGTGCTATTATATAACACATAAATCGCTGCAGGGGCAGTTTCTAATTAAAGTGAGAAATTAGTTGACAGACACGTCGGGATGGTTATTTTTTTCGCGTTTTTAGCCACAAACACATGAAGCCTAAAGAGTGAAAAACGATACACAGGAAAAACATGCTCCATAAATCACGTAACAAGTTGTCTTCGGAAAAACTGTATTTTTGTAAAACTTGAGAGCCTGAGGTTAGGCAAGGGATTCTCTGGTCAGACGCGTCACATGCTGCAAAAAATGTGAAATAATTTTGGGAAAAATATACACAAGAGTACTCACTAATATTGTTTATACCGTCCCATTGTACTACCGAAATGACTTCTGTTGAGTACATCAACCAAGAGAGGTATTTTGTCCAAGTAAAAAGCTGAGGAAGAGAACTGAAAAATTTGATTTGGTTTTAGATAAAATAAAAACCGTATGGATTAAATTGTGTACATTAAAATTAATAATGAAACAAGGAATGCCTTTAAGGCAAGTGTATTGCAAGATGATCATCTTGTTTTTTTTTTTTTAATAACTTAACCCCCAGTTTTAAATACCTACTACCAATATATTTTCTACACAAATAATTTAAAAATATTTCTCATAATTACCCGATCAAAAGAATGTTGAATTTAATAAATATTACATAATACCATATGATGAAAAAAACCATCGTCTAGTCAGCCATGAAATTAATTTGTTTTTAAGCTGTGGTGGTAATATTTTTGTTCTCCACTCAAATTACCTCTCTTAGAGCCGTTTGACACGGGACTAATTTTCGTACTAAATTGTATGCGAGAAATTAGAATCAGTTGTAATAAGTTTAACATTTGTGTTATTAGCATGATAAAAACAATGCTTGAAACAGATTTTTTTTATTATTCCAAGCTATTGCCGAAATGGTCAAGCATGAAAAGTGTGAATGAAATGCGATACATAGAAGAATTTCGCAAACAACCTCAAAAGCGAACAGCTGTGACAATACAGATTTCACAATACTTTTTTTTTTATTAATTCCGTGGCCAAATATGCGACGTTTGTTTTTTCGGTGATATGGTAAAAATAAAAATTTGTAGGAAAACACATTTCACTACATTTGGGACACTACTTTTTTATTTAGGATACTAGCATCTTGGCGGTTACAGTGACTGTATATAGATACTAGCGCACTATATAATAATCTGAAAGAGGAACAGAAAAATAGTGTTTAAAGCATAGGGAAATAAAATTATATAATGGTGCAACTTTAGTCTATACCTTTTTTTTTGTATCACTAATAATTTATTAATAACACATCGTGGATTGCGTGCCTAGTCCCTAGTGACGCACCCTGTATATATAAATTTTTCGGCAACGAGTACATAATTTATACAGAGTGATTATGAAACATAATACATCAAGTTTTTGTATTTTTAATAAGAAGATTTTCCGCTTCTATCATTCGGCCTGAAATATTGGTTTCAAACAGTAAACACATTAAAAAAACTTAAGAAATCTAGATCATGCTTTTGTGTCAGGCTACGACGAGTCACAAAATTTCAAAGTCTACTTGATGTACAATTTTTTATAAGCACCTGGTATAAGTAATATTGGTAACATCTTTATGAATTTTGATAAAATTAAAAAATAAATACAAAATAAAATGTTGAAGTTATCGTGCTATGTCTTTTAGGAAGTCAGTAATATTTTGGTAATGTTAATTTAAAAATGATAAAAGTCATGGTACGGAAAGTTGTGAGCTGTATTTCTTGTAATATCAGATCTTTTGATGTTTATTTGAGTCGAATCTAACGTCTCTTTGTATGTATTTAAATAAAACATGTATATAAAATATGGTGAATTTTTCGTTACTGAGAAATCGACTGTAGGAAAAAAAACCCTATGGTAGCAAGTATTAATAAGTAATTTAAAAACAATACAAATTAATTTTAAAATACATTTCAGTTTTTTAGACGTTTTAGACCATCTATAAATCTAACATCTGAATTTTCGTACTGCATAACAACGTATGTGGAGTATTAGATAAAACATAATTGATAGAAATCTGACATTATTTAAAAAGCACATCTGGTAAATTGCGGTAACAAAGAACCGTAACTAAAAATACAAACATGGCAGTTGCCTTAATTGTGCTACACACAGTCACATAAATGCACTCTCGTATATAAAGACTTTGAATTGCATGCTACAAAAGAAATGCAACAGTTTGCTGGGGGATGCATACATGTCGTTTGTCACGCTCAAATTTATAAATGAATGTTGGTTAGACATCAAACAAACAGAGAGTCTTTAGGAAATAAATTCCTGCGTCTCGTTTTACATTTTTTCCGTTTGGCAAATAAATAGGCTAACAAATTGTCACTTATTTTTCCATTTTTACTATAAAATTAAAACTTTGTAAAGCCTTTGGGGACTTCGAAGTGTCTTACCTTAATTTTATAAAAATTCCGGACATCACCATTAGCAAATAATCGAACGGAACCAAGTAAGCCATAGCTAAGGGTGCTGAATCGAAAGCATTCGAAAAAAATACCCCTGGAAACAAAATCTACATATCATTTATTTTCATAGCTGACGTATTAATTAATCAGATACTAGCTGTCCCAAATGTAACATGAACAATAAAATGTCTGTTATACGAATTTAAAATTTACAAACGTCAGTTTATCAAAATAAATGAGGTTTATACATTAAATTGCTAAAAATTTAAGCAATAAAACTTTAAGTGCACTAGATGGGCGAATTAAGTTTGGAGATATGGCACAATTAGAATAAATCCGTAATAATATAACTTAAAGTCTAATAATAGCTTCGTCAATAAAAAAATTGGGGCATCTAAAACAAGTTATGTTAGTGCCAATAATAGTCCGGAGGGCGCGTTAATGCCTATAATAAAAGATATTTATTAATTTTAAGAGAGAATAAGGAAAGATTTATTGAGATTTTGAAACACAATTGGACAGGTGAGTATTGTAGTACATAATTTGGGAGCGTGATAAGTTGAGTGAAATTATAATGTAGCAAATAGTTCGGTGGTTGGTATTAGAATTACTTACCGCACGCAGCGGCGGCATTCAAGGTAAGAATACCTGCCAAAGTTGTCATTAAGAAGGCATAAGTAGTCGCACGGAGTCCTGAGAGCCAATATACTATTATCACGAACAAAACTGGCTCTATTATTAAACCAGGCAGCTGAAACCGAATTTGTGATGACATACAAGTGATACTAAAATTGAATTATGGTGACATATTTTAATGGATCTAATATGAATTCTATTGAATATAATTCACATTTAGGTTTTTAAATAATTCGATAATGGCGAGTGAACATTTGTTGTTTGATTAATTAAATTATTCGATCAATAGGAGAGGCCGTCGCATGTGGCTGAGGATTCGTTAGTGGGGTGAATGCTAATTTCGAACCAATTTGTCCAATAGAGCATTCATCCATCCATCTCAAAATTAGAAACAGAGCAATGTTTCTCTGCAAAGACATACTCCGAATAAAAGTTTATTTAGTGTATGGTATATGGTAGTTTCAATATTTTTAATTTTTTTGGTATACAGGGTCGCTAAAAAGTTTGGAAGCAATTGAATATCGCGAGAGCGGTTTGTCGAATCTTTTTGGAATTTGAGCTGTCCCTAAGAATATTCAAGTTCTATTTTCTACAATTTTTTCAAATTTTATACTTCATTTGCTTTTGAGGTGCAGGGCGAACTTGATTTTTTGATTTTTTAAATAGCACTAGTAGTCAAATGTTCCGTTTTTAAATAGTGCATTTGTTTCTGAATTGAGAAATGTAAAATAAATTGTCAAAATAAAAATAACATCAGAAAATCATAGTTAGCCGTGACAATACTCTCACCTGTCATAGTCCTGGCGTAGGACACTTTATTCAAAAATTATACTAGTGCCCAATAATCGTAAAAAAGATAGAACTGAGAGTACATACACTGAAATAAATGTGCCAGCGTAACAGATTGATTTAAATGCAGTTTCCAAATAATTTACAAAGTATTCTAGAAATAACAATACTCCGATTTAATTATTGTAAATTGCGAATACATTCTTATGAAAGTTTTTTGAAAATTTTAAATAAAAAATTTTATCATAGAAAAAAGATTAAATTAGCGTTTAAAACGCCATAATTTTACAACAAATGTTCGAAATGTTCTCCATTCACTTCCTGGAAATAGTAAATACGTTGCACAAAGTTTTTAAATGAATCTGTTAGAATATTAGGCGCCATATTAGCGATCACATTTAATATTCTTTCTTGGAGTTCTTTGGTGCTTTGTGGTCTACTAACATAAACTCCATTTTTACATAATCGCAAAGAAAAACGTCAAGTGGGGTTAAATCGGCTGACCTATCTGGCTACTCAACTGTTCCCCTTCGTCCTATCCACCTTCCAAGTTTCAATCAAGTAATGCCGTACTTGATGTTCGAAGTTAGGTAGTGTTTCATCTTGTTGGAACCAAATGGACTATACTGGTAAATTTAGGTTTTCATAGTTGCGAAGTATTTGTCTAAGTTGGTGAATGATACTTTGTTGCATAAGTTCGAGTTATCTGTCAGACGTTAAATTTCCGTTAATGAAAATGGAGCCTACAGTGTGGCGACTAATAATGCTGCACCAAATATTAATTTTTTGGGGGTACTAACCTCCTCCCTCCTGTGTGGATTTGTATTGTACCAGTATCTACAGTTATAGCGATTAACATGCCCATTCACACAAAAAGTAGACTCATCTGAAAAGAATAATTGGTTTATGCAGATGCCATACTGATGTAGTCTGTCTGCCATAATTTCGCAAAATTCGATTCTGCGGTCAAAGTCATCCTGACTTAATTCTTGTAGTAAATGAGTATTTGATTTGGCTAGTGGTGCTATTAAAAAAAAGAAAATTAGCCTTGCATCTTGAAAACAAATGAAGTCTAATGTTAAAAAAAAAACACTGTAAATAGAGCTTAAGTATTTTTAAATATAGCTCAAATTTCAAGAAGGTCCAACTAACCATTCCCGAGATATTCAACCGCTTCCATACTTTTTAGCAACCCTGTACGTGTCATATTATGTGTACCAAAATTTAAAAAATATATATATTGTTCCATGCGTATATGTAATATGCGAAACTCAAATTAGAATTTGTTTTTTTTTGTTTATTTTATTTATTTCATCGTATTTTTATCATTATTTATTTCATAGTAAAAAATTTTAAAAGTGAATCTTTGGCACGAGATTCTCCTATTGCTGGTTGTACAACCCTGCCACTCAGGGTTGGTTTACAGGACCATTACCGATTTTAACTTCAGAGGATTTTAAAATTTTAGTGGATACAAAAATAACCTTCGGGTTTAAGTACTCTACAAATACAGACGTAACACAAACCGCATAATTGTTGCATATGTTCATATATTTGTGTAAATATGCGGTCACAAAAAGCGTCACATTATTATATTTAATTGGACGTCTATTTCTACACTATATAAATGAGAACAGATTTAAACAAATAGCAGTGACATCATTTTTTTTCTAAATTGTTATATAATTTTTGGAACACACTATATGTGTGAATATATATAGAGAAATAAAACAGTAGAAGTATCTAGTTTGTAAGTTAGATATCGCTCTCCGTAAGAGCAAAGATGACCGCACCGTAGTCATCGCCTCCGTGGCGCAATCGGCTAGCGCGTTCGGCTGTTAACCGAAAGGTTGGTGGTTCGAGCCCACCCGGGGGCGCTTCTTTTTTTCTTCCCGCATATAGAAATCAATACGATTATTAATTTCATTTTCTCAAACACGATAACGTCGATGATATAACGTTTAGCGGTGCCATTATTCACGTAAAAAATCGAAATTTTCTACTCCTACTTCATTTTATATGTTGGATGTGATTTGAATAATAAATTCGACATTATAATAAAGGCTCCGTTCTTGCTTTCCGATCAGTTTAGTTTTCGTGATATCGAGGAAATTTTTACGACGCTGAGTTATTCTTAATATGCGTTGTTACGTCACTGCCAACGATTTTATTGAATTTAATTTTTTCTGGAGACAAAAATGTGTTGTGAAGTAGGAAGTTATGGAATATTGAATGAGGGAGAATTATTACCAGGGAGATAATCCTTGACGCAAAGTACGTGGGTGTGGAGTAGAGTCCTGATTTATATTCTCTCAAAAACAAGGGGTAGTTCTGGGGGAATTCATTCAAGATTGAGTACATCGGTGAGAAGGTGTTTTCGGTAACTATGAGGAAAATTACGCCCTCCACGTTTTGCGCTCCGGTGGAGGTAGTGGCATTGGTGCCGAAGTAACACAAACCGACCATGAGAGCAATACCCTATAAACAACAACAATAATAACTGGCTATAATAAGGCTCGTGTTGAAAAGTTTTGCACGATTGTCGTCTTTCAAAAATAAATAATAATAAATTGACAGTCAAAGTGAGATTTCTAAAATTCAAAATCAAAAACGAGTTCGTCAAGACTTTTAAACCTGGATGTGTATTTCTGTATTTTGTAATTTTAGCTTTGTCATATTTATAAAAATTGTTCTAAAATTGTTTTGTCAGAATTCTCGCTCTTGAAGGACAGTTAAACAAAGCTAGTGCAGCAAAAGACAAAAATGCAAACGCCGTCAATTATTTTATGAGGGATATTTAGTACTTTAGACGGCGACCTGCAATAAAACCATTACGAATTAGGAATGCATTTACTAGAGAACAAATACGGTCCTGGGTACAGCTTTGAAAGCGACTGGAGATTTTACAACGGCAACACTCATAATCGGAGTCATTTGCACTTATCTTTTGGTGGACTGTATTTCGATTTGTTTTTAGTTTGTACTATATGGACACAACTCATTTCAAGGTTTTTAAAGATATATTTTGAAAGCAAATATTTCAAAGATTTTGCCTTGTTTTTTAAAGTAGAAGAAACTCCTTGAAATTTTGGGCTCACCTTTTTTAAAGTATTCCAGAAGCTATAAGGTTATATGGACATCATAAAATTATCCCATTGTGTGGAAGTTAAGTTGTTTACAATAGAAAAGGTTTTAACGTCGTAAATAACGTGTCCAGTGCAGCTCGACCGACTGCTGTCGGTTCGATCAGGGGTGGCTTTCACTAAATATCTAACTACCTACCACTACTACCTGCAGCCACAAAGGGGTCCGAAATAATAAGTCGCTTTGTAAGCCGGCCCTGTTAAATGTGAGTAAGAAATGTTTAGAAGACGATTTATTGCCAACCGGTAAGCTTAGTGCGAACCACACAAAGGGGGTATTTATTCGCGGTCAACTACTTTTATGATGTTCATATAACCTTATACCTTTTGGGCTACTATAATATACTTTAAAAACAGGATAGAATTAAATTTTAACTGTTTTTCGGAAGGTGAATTTTTTCGGCCGAAATCGAATTTTACATTTCTTAAAAACAGGGCAGATTCCTTAACATTTGGATATGTTTAAAAAAGATGCGTTAAAACAGGGTAGACATGGTTCACTGTAAAATCAACACAGCTGTAAACCTGCGTAGAAGCATAAAATCGGTCGGGCCAAGTCCACTTTCAAATTTAAGGAGTGGGCGCACCCTCAGCGGCGTCCGCCATCGTTTCTCTATCAGAGGGAATTTTCTACCTGCGTAAGGGTACCTGTTTAGATTAGTGCCAATAATTTTAAATAAATAATTTAAAAAACCACCCCCTTCTGAAGTGTGTATATTACGATACTGAATGCTGACCTTAAAATAATCCATCTCTAAAGTCGTTGAATATGTTACTTTTTTAAATTTTTGAAATATTTGGTTTTTAAATATACTTATTACTTAATATAGATTACAAAATAGGGCAAAGTCCTTAAAAAGGTGTTGTGTGCTGAACAAGTCCATGTAGTAGTATCGAAACAAATAAACTTAAAAGAAAGATGAAAAAGGATGATTCTAAATAAACCCAGAAAACTTAGAAATGATTGAAACACAGACTTTGGTCATTCTTGATCAGATGAATAGGATGACAAAAAACTATTTGAAATATTAAACAGATATTTTTTACCTGAACTTCTTGAAATGAGGTCAATGCCTAAATTGGGCACAGAGTATACGAGTAAGGAGCACAAGAACTACAAATTAAATAAAGGAGAATCATGGTTGATGAAAATGACGAGCTGCATGAGCTGAGTAGCAAATATTGAGTAACTTCATAGAAAGAAAAGAATGTTCCGCCTGGTGAACAAAAATATAAATTATAGGTAAGAAAAGAAGTTGGTCGAAGGTTATTTCGATATGACTTCTCTCTCCTCTATAGTACAACAAATCCCGCTTTTCTGAAAAATTATAAAATTTGATTTTACGAACTTTCATTTGTGATAACCTCTATACATTAAAATAAATACAGATAATACCCGTAACAGTCTAACATCTAACTTTTTTTAATGACACCATATACATGTTTTTAAAGATTTTTCTAGAGTTTCTTTTTCTGAATTCATTTTATACTTTAAGCACCCATAATATTCCGTCACTGCCTTTGATTCGAAGGCATTATTACGAAAATACACTCTGTTAACTGGTTTATATTTGGACTGGAGAGCTATTCTCCACCTTTGACAGAAAACGGATTAATAATTGCTCCAAAATACATTAATAAAACGCAAGGCTATGTGTGTATTTCTAGTGAGGTTTCCCATTTGAAACATTTCAACAGAGACAAGAATGTGTGCAATGTAATAATAAAACGATGAGGTTAGCGTTCTTGATTTGGTCAATAAAAAAATATAGATAATAGCAGTAATAACAAAAAAGCCCATGTGACAATCGGATGTGCTCGCCTTTCGCGTTAAAAATCCACACTAAGGCAGTAAGCTAACGAATAACCTTGTAGGGTTTCTGTCTATGCTGGTATAAAAGGCTGATATATAATTTTAATTTTTTTGCGAAAAATTTTATGTCTCGAGAAAATTGCAAGGATTTTTATTTTTATTTTTTTCCACAGGAGTGCTTTATTTTATACCTAAGGTGGAACATGCTAGGAATTCTGATGGAACGTCATCACATTATTGGTGGAGATGATTAGGTAAATTTTGGTTAGCGTTTTGCCACCTACACAATTTCTTACTATACATATAAAATTTTGCAACAAACTGTAGTTTCGAAGATTATCTGTCTAGTAAAAATTGACACAGACGGCAGACAGACAGATTTACAGACAAACAGACAGACAAACATGAAAGTAACAGTCGCTCGATAGTCCCTATTACAATACTCCTTTAGCTTACCCTCTGGGAGTAAAATCATAGGTAATAGCAGCAATAATGTGAGAAAAGAAGAAAGGGGTCATGAAACGTCGAGAAAACATGAAAGTGGTAATTCGTCGGATGAACCCTATTACGGATGTAAAATGAAACATTATGAATGAAGAAGTAAATAAAATGTAACAGATTAAAATGCCAAATCAAAAAAAATATATATAGTAAGAAATTAGAAACTTCAGTTTTAAGAACAAAATCCAGGATACATGGGTAATTCACAAAAATACAAATCTCTGAAAGAAATACTTGTAAAATTTCACAAAGCACAAAAATGTAAAAAATTATTTGGGTAGAAAACTTATCGAAGTAAATATAGTTAAAGAGAAGAATACAAACATGAAAAGGAAGATCTTAAAGATATCCGTGATTGCAACCCGGCCTTAATCATTCTTCAAGTGAAGACGATAGTGATAAACTATTTGTAACATTTTAAACAATATTCGATTAAAACAGAAGATATTTTTTACTTGTTGAAGAAACAAATGAGGCCAACACTTGTCGAAAACACTTACAATGGGGATTTATAGTATATGTATATATAATATATGCAAGAAGAAAACACAGGATTGTAACCACAAATTAAATAAAGAAAAATCAAGGATGAATGAAAATCATAAGATGTATGAACCGTTTTAAATAATGAAGAAATCTGAAGACCTTTTGATCTTTGCAGTTATGGTAACTGCTTTTTCTAAACAAAACCCTATACTAGATATTGTCTCCTGAGTAGCACAATAGAAAGAAAAGAAAGTTTAGCCTGGAGACCAGAAGTATAAACTATAAGGTAAGAAAAAAAGTAACAATATGAAGAGCCACCGAAAGTATAAGTTACGTAAACCAAATTGTGGAACTGGAAAAAAAAGAGCTAGATAGAAATTTGTCTAGAATTTTCAAGTAGGTATATAACAAGTAAAGCCAACAGTTCCAGGTCTTCTTTGTTTCTGAGAAATAAGTACTTAGTAAAATTATTACTTATCTTTTATAAATGTCCCTAAAGTTGTAAGCAAAAGTTCTTTCCTAAGAAAGCGTCAGCTTTTAATCTTGAATTACAATATTGTGGAGTGATAAACATTTAAATAGAAAAAAAATCCGTTGCCTTACCTGGACAATTTTATGAATAATGCAAATTTTGTAGTGCGCCTCTGGCATTTCCATTTATTTCCATTTTTGTAATAGGCAGTCAACAATAAACATGTTTTATAACTGGTTTTATGTATTTCCAATAATTATCGCATTGAAAAATAGTGCAAAACTTTCCACCAGAAACCTTACTTGTAAATTATGAAAGCGAGGCGGCGAAAGATTGAGACCGAAATACCTTCTTCAGTTTTGTAGACAGCATAAGAAAAAATCTAACATTGAAAACTGACGATAGCTTCACACTATATTACATTTATTCCATCATTAACCGGTTACTGTATACGTATATTAAAACATATAAGTTGTTTTTTAAATCATTAGTGTAATATAAATACGACGCCAAGTCAAATTTCTAGAATCTTTTTTCGTGATACAATAGCAATGATTAAAAGCATACAGTTTGATGAAGACCACCAAAAGTTAGAAAGGGCGGTCACTCTTAAGTGAAACACCCTATACATTTACTAATCAAGTCAACATCTGCATGAGAAATAAATTTCGCCACCTCTGTATTATTCTCACTATTTCTTACAGATCTTTGCAAAATTTTGTACGTTTGCAACGCTGGATTCCTCCACACATCCATAAGCCAGCGATAACTCAGCCAAAACACCTTTTCCCAAACAAATAACCCCTTACTGAAAGCACATCATCATTTCATGTATCTTTGATCGAAGTGGAAACTCACAAATTCCTCCCCAGCTTGTACGTTTTCTACATAAACACAAAGATAAGTTTGTTTACGGGAAAGCAAACAAAACCCACATTACCTCAACAGCTCTTCCCATATGAAATTCGTACTGTACAACAACGTCAACTTCCCTATTATAATCACTCACAGCAAACTGATCACATATTCTCTTTACAGATTGTTTACTGTTTTCGTCGCCGGAAGTGGCTGCCAAAGTTTTAATAAAAAAGTCAGCCGGGTTATACGAGGAGGGGCACTGATAACCCACCCTAAAACGCAAAAAATGAACACGAATTAAAACATGCAAGCCGGGATCTCCAAACATTGAATTTCATTGAAATGAGTATCTAAATACTGTAATCCGGAAAAAACGTAAAAGGCGTCTGTCATTTTTTATAGTGGGGATCGGTTTCGAACAGTTATTTTTCGATCATCTTCAGTCCAGGGTTTAGAATAAAAAAATGAACGGAAAATAACCGCTCGTCACTGTAAAAAATAAAGTGGAGAATAAACGATTTTTTTTCTTTTCTCCGATGGAAACAACTCTACTTCGAACGAATTCAAGCTCAGATCCTGGACTAACAATTAGTGAGTATACTTTTCGAAAAAATCTAGCGCAGAAGCTGCGCTTCCCATGAACGCTATCCGCCCTTCGGTCATCAAAATCAGTTGACTAAACATGTTGAAAATATCCGACGAGGGTTGATGTATGGTGCACAGAATAGTTTTGCCGCTAGCGGCCATCGTATTCATCATCGACACGATTTTTTGGGCCGAAAACGAGTCTAAACCAGTGGTTGGCTCATCGCAAAACAATATCGGAGGGTCTGTTAGAAGCTAAAACTGTTATTTGAGTACTTTCATTAATTAGTGCAAATATCGTACTTCAGTAGCGAAAGAGAGGCGCTTTTTCTCGCCCCCTGAAAGAACCTTGCTGTCTCCGGTTTGGCCGATTTTCGTGTTGATGCACTTTAAAAGCCCCAAACTTTTAAGTATCTGATAAATTTTCGAATTACGCTCTGTTTGTGTCGTCTTTCTATCAAGCTTTAAGCGCGACATAATGTTCATATGTTCCAAAACAGTCAGCGAACCGATGAAAATGTCTTCCTGATGCATGAACCCGCTTAAATATTTCATGTAGCTTCCGATAGGGCGGCCATTTATCAAAACATCTCCGTCCATGTATGTTCCACCTTGGGGATGAAAGATTTAAATGTGATTTTTTCGCGAGGGTTTAATTACCGGTGTTCCTGTAGGCTAAAGTTGACATTAGGGTACTTTTACCAGCGCCACTAAAAAGAAGTTAATTTTTAAATGTTGCGGAAAGAAGATGAAAATATTAAAATTTTACCTAGCCCCCATTAAAGCCACTAAACTTCCCGCTTTTACGGCACCAGTTACTGAAACATAAACTGGTGGAAAAATTCAAGAATTTATTAATTTTCTGCACATACTCACCTACATAAGGTTGTTATTACTTTAAAAAGTACACAATAGCTGAGTTAGAAAATTTACAAACTTAGTCTCTAGTTTACTTAAAAGTTTATACTCGCAAAAATCGTTTCTCATTTTGGATTCATGCCGGGTTTTTACAGATTATTCAAAACCGACAATTTGAGCCAATTAGATTCTATTCGTGTCAAGTCTACACAAATACTCTTAAACAACTTACCACCATTAATTATCCTCTTGCATACAATTTTTCCGTTCTTTTTAGTTTTAGCGTATACCGAGACGTCGTTCCAAGCCAGAGTCACACCTTCTTCGAATGGAGACCATTGGGTGTAAGTTCTCACGCGTTTTGGTAAAGAATCGCTGTCAACGAAGATGCCAGAACTATCCTGAAAAATACATACATCGGGACAATTCAGTAATTCCATAATTATAATCAAGTGCATTTTTTAATATATGCAAGTGAACATGTGAAAAGCACTTTTGGAGTACTTTGGTCTTTAAAAATATTAAGCTTATCATCGAAAAGTATTTCCGTCCAACCGAACATGAAAATTTCGTTTAAAGATGCAAATCGAGCTCTATCTTACACTTTACTGAGCATATAATGTGGTAACTGTAGGTAAAAAAGCAAGTGGTATTTTTTCGAAATATCAACGTAAACATGAAAAAAATATGAATATAAAGGTTTGTTGCCACTATCGTTTTGAAAATATAAAACCTTAAATTATATTATTCCTCATCAAATGTATTATGACTATCAGTATTACCAAAACAAGAATTTATTGGTTAGCTCTGATTGTCGAATAAGCTCCTTATTTATTTCGGGTTTAGTAAATGGCAAAATGTAAAACAGTATTGTAATCTAATTATACAAAGCAATTTCATTTGCAAAATATACATTTGTGTATTTTCATTATATGGAGAAGTTCATTTTTTTGTTGGAGAAAAAATTCAAAACATGTTCCAATTGTTACATGATCCTGATAAACTACCGACTCAATATTTTACAGTTAAAGCTACAAAAAAATTCTAAAAATCTGTTATTGTATGTAAAACATAATTAAGCGAGTTTTTTACATTCCTTTTTCAAAAAATTTGATCTGAACTTAATTAGACAAAACTTCCCAGCCTCTGAAATGCAATCGAACAATTCCTTCGAAAAAAAAAAATTAACTATACCTATAACTTAACATAAAGATATGTGTGGGCTGTCAAAAACAGGTAAAGAAGCATGTTATACAGTGGCGTACACAACATCCTCGCAAGTCCTGCACAATCTGCACAGTACCGATAATATTAAATACATACAGGGCTAGTCACGAGAGAATTACTTCTGAAAATTATTTTTACGCAACCCAAAATACTAATACCCTGTACCACTTGATATTATCTGAATTTAAAATGAAATGCCTAATCCATGATTGCTTTGACTTTGGCAGTGTCACTTTGACGTTAATTAATTTTTAACATTTTTTTTCATCGTTGGCTCGCCTTTAGAGCCCCATTCGATCGACGACATACAGTCAGATCAATCTGGGCTATACTGAAGCCGTAAGTGCTCTACCAATGTTGTTCGCCGCTAATGTGCATGTGTTAATTCGCCATCTCTGCGTCACCTAGAGCCTCTTCGAAGTGCAAATCTGCAACCTCTGGACTTCTTTGGCCATCCATTTACAAAAAAGCCGTAGCATCCCCCCAAAATGTCCAACATTTTCAACAGATTAGTAGTTAAATTATTTACTCACTTGTTTGAGTTTGTGTTGTAACCTTTGAATAAAATTCCGTAAAAGGAATTTTTAGAAATAATTTTCTCGTGATTAATCGGTTGCAAAAGATCAAGAGGCACACTGACAAATTTATTAGCGGCGCCGGAGGAGATTTCCGACTGGCTGCGGTACCACCATGGACACTCGCGTAACCTCTTTTTCCACAATTGTCAAAATGACATTGCCAAACTCAAAGCAATCATGGATTAAGCAGTTTATTTTAAATTCAGTTAGTATCAAATGGTACATGGTATTCGTATTTTGGGTTGCGTAAAAATAATTTTCAGAAGTAATTCTCTCGTGACTAACCCTGTATATGTATTTAAAGCAGACAACAAATCGGAAAAATATATTGTCAGTACATGCTTAACCTTGATTGTTTGTACTTATACACTAAAAGAATGCGACGAGTAAACACCTGGTAAGCTGCCTTTTTGAACGATTTTATCTCCTCAAAACAGAAGAGGTGACTAAAATTATTATTAATTAACGCCAGTCCCTACGTTTTTCAAAAATAAAACAATATTTTCAACAAAAACTTATTTTCCGACAAAAAAGACGATAATGTTTTTTGGATAGTGGTTATATTTAAAATTTCGTAACAATAAGAAAATGTGTTGAAAATCCCATGCACAAAACGTAGGGACAATGAAACAAAACGTTTTGAATATTATTTTGGGTAAGTAGCTGTTTGTACGGTAATTCTGATTTTATTATTATTAACATAAGCGCAACCGTACACAACATTACTGTATTCTCAAATTTTCGAAAAAATGGAAAGAATAGGAGTATGTTACTTTACAAAATTTAAATTAAAAACAAATTATTGTCAATTTTCACCTCAACATTTTTCCCAGTAAATGTTATTTAAATTTTATAAAATGAGATACTCCTGCACTTCTGAGTTATGAATACACCTTGATTTTGGATATGATTGTCATACTTTTTGTTGTTTAATTCTTCTTCTTTTTCTATAGATATATTAAATAAAGGTAATTTCACGTAGAGTTTTAAGTAGTCAGTCGTCTTGTAATTGAAAGTCCCGCATGCATTATATGCATGGTAGTGCCATTTAAAAAAAATTAAGTTGACCTTGCATATCGAAAAAAAAATGAAACAAAAAATTTTTTTTAAGTAATTAGAGCATAACTTCTTGTAACCCTATACCTAATTTCAGCTGATTGGTACAATTGGTTCTTAAGATATTTAATCGTGTCTTCGTGTCCATATATTCTAGCAACCCTGTATATAAAACCTTAGCAATAAACTGCTAGAAGACCTGAGAAAATATAGAACTAGTAAATAATGAATTAAGTTATTTCATTAAGTTGACAGTACACTTCATAAATAATAATAATTTACAAATGGGGAACTTACAAATTCTGGGCCTGTATTAATTGAAATGTTGTGGAAAATACACAAAGGGCAATAAAAGACTCTTTAAAAGAAGATCATTCGGTTTTAAAACTCTAGGACATACAAGTTGCAATAATAGTGTCTCTTAAAGCTTGTTAAATACTACAAATTTATATGCAGACTGGGCAACAAAATGAACAACTAAACCTCTATCTTCGAAATAATTGGAATTTTTATATAATTTCAAATTCTCATTCTTTCTAATAATAATCAATTTCTACATGAAAAACTTACGTCCAATAGTATTTGAGTTTCTTTCCTATTTTAATCTTGCTCTTTAAATCAACATCCTGACTTAGTTTCCTTTCCACTTTGTTTTCGTGTTTTCTTGATCTTTTTTACTATACTAACTAGACGTCTTTTTATCTCTCAATCAGAATTACATAGATCAACATTATTATTATTATTAATTACAAAAATTGAGTGCGATATTTCCTTATTTAGGTAACTAATATAGACATAATTTATTTTTAAAGTTTGAAGCAAAAATATCGCAGAGATATTTTTAAAGATTTTTTTGTCCGGAAAGTTTATTTCATCAGGTTTGGGTTGCTCGAAATCGTTTAGCGACCCAAGATCGTAAAATAGCTCTCATATAACATGCAATTCTATTTTAACACGCCCATATTGAATATCATTGCGGTTAATTCGCACTGATTGACGAGTGAAAAGGGTATAGACGATCTTGTTATAAATTTATAGTAGTTTGAAGCAAGAACCGGCTGTTAGGCCGGGCTCGAATCGATCCAGCCTTCATTTATTAACGCAAATTTACTCGCGATGATTACAATAATAACCGTTGCATCCATTATTAAATATTTCACAAGCAATTATCTAACAATATCAATTAATTTCTAAATCACGGCGCGCTAATTTAGTTTGGTGTTTAAACTGGCGCGTGTAATTAAACATCAGCAACAATACAATTAGACAAATATTTACTTATCTGGCGTTCTCAGATGTAAATAAAATTCATTTCACATGTTTGTGTGTAATAACGAAAATTCGTTTAATACTCACATTGGTTCCAGAATTGTTCGGTGAATTTCTCCAGCTGGTATTTAGAGGAAATAACGGTGTGCCCTCCTCGTCTGATGCCATTCCAAACCACTAATTACACTATAGCAGCCCGAAATTAACATTTGTTATACTACATATTAATTCTGTAAATTGATAAAAGTAAAGCTTGTGTAAATGTTTACTGAAGCAAATAGACGGTTGTGTTTGTTCAAGGTGTGGGAAGTCTACAAGAACCCTGTGTAATGTTATACTTTTACCCCCTACCACCACACTTTTTTTAGCGATCGATCTAGATTTATTTAAGCGTTAATAAAACTGTTCGATCACATTTCATTCCGTGAGTGACCACCAAATGGAACACTATTTAGCTCAAAAACAACAAAAACGTAACAAAATGTTTAGTACTCCTTATCAAGAGTCTTAACCCAAATACGACTTAAGCTGTTTGTAAAAACTTAGGTGACAATACGAAGTAAACCACAATCGAGTAGCCAAAGTAAAGAAATACTATCAAACATGACTGAGTATGTCGTCATCCAACATTATTATTTGGACAGAAGTGTACTACAATTCGTATAAAGAACCGATTTTAGGCTAAAAAAAGCCAAAATAGGCGATAAAAACAGAGGATTTAGGCCTGAAAATGGCAAAATAGGCAAGTTTTAGGAAAAATAAATTTTACGCAACATCTGGTTTTCTTTGAGATCTACATTTATTTTATTATTTTACATAATTAGCGATCCTAAGCTTCGTTAAAATTTGCATAACAATTTTCGACAGAAAAATTTTTCCTTTTGTCTGTTAGGATATCTTTATACCTTGAGAAGAAATTTCAGTGGGCTTCTTTTTTAAATCTTTTTCTACATTTTCACCGTGTAATACATCGCTGACAAGTTTAAGCTCTTGGTACCGGGAATATGTTCGTAAAGTATCTTCCAGCTTTTTAAATGACATTTCACTTACTCTTCCCTGGATATCTTCCAATCGTTTATAAATTGCTCTACTAGATCCACAGACCATTATAACCTAAAATGTTTCATTAATTTAGAATTACACACAAAATTATGAATAACAATAAGCGAACCTTTTTATATCCTCAAAATAATAGCAATAATATGATGCCGCTTCAATCTTGTCAGAACAGGTTCTGGAGGCAATGGACAATCCGTTAAGGCTTCCCGGTAGGCTTGGATTCTCAAATGAGCTTTAAGAAATACTTTCTTTACGTTGAAAATTAAACCATTGACATCTTGATTTCGGATCTAACTTCAGCTACTAAACTGAAACATGTTACAAGAATTAAATTGGGATAAAATATTTTCAGATGTTTGCCACATTTAACTATGTATGCAGCGCTTAGTTTTAGTTTTTGATATGGATTCCCGTTGATTATAATAACATACCTGGATTATTATATGAATTAACATTATTATTTCAGAAATTGGGTTACAGCCAATTTTAAGTTCGGCTTATATCAGATTACTTAAAAAAATACGAAGTAAACTAACTAAATAAATAAAATAGCAAAATTAGGATGTTCCCAATCTTATCGCAATCACAATCATCATCGTAAACTTGGGACTTGTAATTCTTTGTTAAAGTTGATTCCTCAGGAATATTATTTTTGCAGTTTCTCTCCAAAAATAAGCGCAATGTTTTGTTGCTAAGTTTTTTCAACGGTATATTTGCCACAACAAATGCACTGGATAATTCATAGTAAAAATTTTTCCTATGAAATGAGGAAATTAAAGTTTGCCTGGTATCTTTATAGATAAATAGTTGTGATGTGCATGTCAGTATTTTCATGTTGAAGAACATGGAATTTATTTATTTATTTATTTTTCAAAAATTGATATATTATTATGCGAATTTATGGAATTAATTTCACAACTAGTTTTCCCATTTGAATTGTGCAACAAGAATAATTAGTACTTACATTATATTTTTCCCGCAGGCTTTACATCCATTTTTTTTTTCGACCATTCCCTTAACTTGTCCTTTAAAGACGATATTTATCTTTCGGCATTTTTAAAAATGGTACAAAATAAGTATTAGATGATAAACAATTTTTAAAACACTTTTACACTTTCGAACGTCACTTTACGAAACCCAACACGAACTAATTGATGAAGGAAGAGAATTCGAAAAGAAAGTTGTAGGAGGGCTTGGTGTATTTAACACATCAAAGCTCTTCCCGGAAAGGCAAGAGACAACTTGTGTCGGGGTCTGTAAATGTAACGGAATTCGGCCGACCCTTTTACCCAAAACTCGGATTGGATTATTAACTTTCTTTATTGTACCGGAAGCATTAAATGTGACCTTCATAAGAAACATGTACTTAGTTGTATAGAAAATTCAAATTTTAGAACAAAGTAGGCAGAACAAAGGTAAAACCGGGAAAAAATAGGTCAAAAAATGCAAAAAAGCACTCATGATCAAAAGTAGGCAAATAGGTAAAAACAAGTAGGGCTCAAATAAAAGGATTTTTTCAGATACACATTTATATATACAACTTTGATACATTTGCCTACAACCTACAATCAAAAGGCATTTGTCGTAGAATCCGCTCTTTAAATATGTATAAAAAAAAAAAAAATGAAAACTACCGTTTATATTTCTTTCATATCTTTTATACAAAAGAGTCGATTACCAAGGTTGTTTTCGTTAAGTAACACACAAATGCTTTGAGCTTTTTATAATGACAGATGAAAAAGTAGAATACAATCTAATTAATTTAATTTTATCGTAAGATTCTAATTAGTTGTTATATCTAATTAGTCATTAACGAAAAATGCCGAGTCCTTAATGTTATTGTTCTTGAAATTATGAAAATTTAAATAAGATTTCAAATTAAAGCGTTTTTGATGGTGTATAAAGCATGCAGAATATGAATTATATGGATCAAAAAATAACGTAGCATAAAGCATATTTCAGGATTATTCGAGTTATATCTAGAAGAAACAAGTGTCACAAATCATAACTTCATTACTCTCTGGACATAAACTATCTCACTACTGTAAAAAGAACGAATTGCAGACAATAAACACCACATTGTGGTCATCAAATTAAACTTTTAAAACCACTACTCTACAATACTACGAAACTCAGAGTCATAGTATTGTATGTGACAAGTGTGACCAGACGCTATAAAGGTCCATTAACTTAACTGAATTACACTAGCAATGACATGTAATAAATGTAAACTTAAATAGTGAAATCGTTTATCTAATGTAATGAAGTGGCTTTGCTCTACCTGAGGACACCATGTTAAACAAAGAATCAAATTTTCTTTAGCGATGGTACATGACGCTGAGTTTGATTAAGGTCAGAGCACAAAGGGCGTTTAAACATAATAAAAGAGCAATCAATGACAAAGTTTGTCATAAAACCCGAAACATAATTCACACAGGAGATAGCAGCCTAGGGAAAGTTAATGAAAGATACAGCTTTTTAATTGTCTGTCTAAAACGTTGGCTTAGGTCAAAGTTAAAATCACAATTGTCGAACAGTAGTTTACAAAAAATAAAACGTATAAAAAAACTGACACCCTCACTAACTAGTGCAGAAACCTTAAAATTGATGTTACTTCTCTCGTTGCATAACAAAGTTATAATGCAAAAACCCGGAAAAAATAACACAAAGAATTAATAAAATATTTATTCAGTACTGTAATAATATCGTATTAAATGCAGTGTAAAAGTTTTTGAGTATGTTCTATTTACGTTTATAAGCTTTAGCTAGCAGTGCAAAATAAGCCACTAGACGGAAACCCACAATAAGAACTCCCAACATGACAACATACAGGGTAAAGTCGCTCTAAAAACAAAAATATATACATTATCCGAAAACTCTCTACACCAACTAAATTACGGTTTGAAAATTCAACGTTTCGAGAACAACACTTCCATCTTTAGGACACGCTGTATTTTCATCTGGACATTCAATTTCCGTCACATTGAGCCACTGATTTATTAAAAGGGCACCATTTCCATATCGAAACCATGACAAATACGACACCCATTGTAAATACACAGGAATCGAACTAAAACTCACATTAAGCTTTACGAAAACTACCATTTACTCGTAGATACCTGATATTAAGAAAGAAGCCACCGAAGAGCATGAACGGTATTATCAGAGAGGGCCCTACAGAAAGAGCGACGGTAATACTTGGGGAAGCACAGGATATCATATACCCTAAACACGTGTCGTTATTGATTGATATAACTTTGATGAAATGTTACCAAAACTTGTAGCTACGTTTGCAACGAGAACTAAAATTCCGCAAGCTATGAAGAATCTAGGCCCGTTTGGGTTTAATCCAATCAGGAAGTAGCAAATAGCTGTCAGAATTAAAGGCATCGTTATAAAGATGGGACATTCCGCTATGGTTTTGCAGAGAAAGTAAATGTCAGTTCGGTACATGCCATTGCGATGTTCCCGGAGAAAAACCTGGAGTTCAGCGCAGAACACCTTAAAATAAACAAAAAAATAAATAAATAAAAGATAGCTATTGACAAACATATAGTTAGTAAAATCGACTTTAGTAGATGAGATCATAAAACGTAAGCAGATTTTCTTATATAGATGCTGTGTAAATATATATACTCTATTATCTTTCTCCGCCAGACCATTGGGACATCCTATACAATGAGTGTTCAATAGTCAAAATTCCTCTAGATCCCACAGATTTTGTGATCTCATTAACAGAGTCGATTTAAAAATTGCTTACATTGATGACAGCAAAAATGTTCTGAAAAGTCATGTTTGTCAAAAGTACAAAGATAACACCATTAATATTCATCACTCCATCTAAATCTAACTTCTGGTCATAATAAATTGCTCCAATAAGTAAGGCAATAATCTACAAATAATATTTTTATAATAACTTAATTTGAAAAAACCCTGAAAAACTAAAACTAACAGAAAAACTTACAATTGTTTGCAACAGTCTGACTTTAATAAGAATCGGTTCCTTCATAACGGTCAACCAAGATCTCCACAGCACTGCTCTAAACTGTGCCCACCAAGAAGCCTTATAAGGACTTCTCGCATAGTCACCATTAATCCAAACATCATGATACCCACTATCTTTGATCTTAAACCAAATTTCTTAAAACTAGATCCATTTAAAAAAATTACCATTACCCCACTACCAGCTTCTAAAGCAATTTTAACCCCAACTGTTGACCTCTCGAACTTATTACAAATCACATTAGCCGCCTGACGACTAGCGGCTTCTTTCTCTGGTACTATAGCCAAAAGCTGAATAAAATAATCCGCCGGGTTATAATTTTTAGGGCACGGTGCATCAAGCCTAAAAACAAAATCAAAATTTCCACCACCCAAACACTATATATGTACAAACTCTCTAAAAAACACATCCGCTTCTTCAGGACTTCCCAAGAAAGCTATCCTCCCTTCAGTCATCAACAACAACTTGTCAAACATTGAAAACAACTCCGACGATGGTTGATGGATAGTGCAAATAACAGTTTTCCCAGTCATTGACATACTCTTAAGAACCTGAATGACATTGTAAGCCATGAATGAGTCTAATCCTGATGTGGGTTCATCGCAGAACATCAACTTCGGGTTAGTCAGGACTTCGGCTGCAAAAGCCAGGCGCTTTTTTTCGCCACCAGAAATGCCTTTGATTCGTCCGATGATTCCAATTTGGGTGTTTTCGCATTTTTTTAAACCCAACTCGGCGATTACTTCGTCCACTCTTTGCATTCTTTGATTGTAGGATATGTCGCGATCCATTCTAAGTAGGGCTTGGAAAATTAGGTGCTCTTTAACTGTCAAGTTTCCGATAAAGAGGTCGTCTTGCTGTACGTAAGCTGATTGGCTGATTAGTTGTTTGGGTATGGCCGAGGCTCCGTTAACACAGCGGATACCGGAAACGGTTAAGTTGGACGAAGTTTGAAAAGTGAGAGTGTTGAGAAGGGTGGTTTTTCCGGCGCCGCTGGAGCCGAGAATTGCTAAGAGTTCTCCGGGGTATGCCACACCGCATACTAAAAATGGAAAAATTAGGTATGTGTTGGTACTCTTTTAAGAAGAAACCATTTTTCAGGAGGTGTTTTTTGTTGATTCCGGGTTTATTTTTACCGAAGTTGAAAATTTTTCTTTTGGAATAGCTTATGTTGCCAAAAACGTTGATTTCGCTCCAAGTGTATGTGATTCGTTCTTCTACGGGGATTATTTTACTTGTTGGTTGTGGACTTGTTCCATATATTGGAATTCGAATAGTTGTTAAATTTAGAGAGGCTACAGAAGTTGTACTTTCGGCACTCTAGAGAAAGGTTCGACATTAAAAATTTTTTTATCAGAAACATGCAGTGTTTTATTTTGTCTTCATTGCATATTAACTAGTATCTGAATTATTCCATCAAAGAAAAATACATCTAAGCCTTTACCTATGTCAGTTGTTCCTGACAATCCATAGAATTTTTAACTTGGTAACTATTAGTCGATTTGGTGTCATTATTGAGAAATAGGTTCATGAGATTAAAGAGATATATTTTATAAACAAATATGAATCGCGATTCGTATTTTAATCATTACACTACCAATTAAAAAACATGAGGGTTTCCAGGTGTTGCCACGACATTCATTTTAATTTTGCTATATTTTTTGAAGACAGCGATTTTCTTGTTCAGAGTGCGATTGCGATCCAAAACTATTATTCTGAAAGTGAGTACGATAAGCGGATATTTTCAGATTTTAAAGTCACTTTTCGCCATTTTATTCTATTCTATTGTATTTTATTTAATTATTATTATTACTTAGACAGGGTTTTGATAAAGTAATGCACAAAATTCATAAAAAGCGTAACATTTGTTTTTGAGATTTGTCAAAAAAATTTTACGTCAAATTTGTAAAAGTTATGACGGCATGAATGATTTTTTTTTAATGTATGACAAAAAAATTGGAGAAAATTAATAACAAACGAAATAAACATGAAATGAAATGAAACAAAATGAAATCCAAATATGTAACTAAAAATTAAAACAACAATAAGGTTTAGCTCAAAGTCAAGACAGCTTTGTAGGCACCGATAATGTTATTTTTGCCTACAATAGCAGATTTTTGAAAATATGCTCAAAAATACAGTGCAATATTTAACAAAATGTAGATTTCTCCATAAGAACATGACAGAGAGGTCAAGATTGCATGTCACTGCGCTTAAAGGCGCTCTGATTTTGTGTTCATTGTTATAGTTTTCACTTTTTTAATTCCCGACGCCAACTTTGACACCTTTGTCTGTGTTTGTGTCTGTCCGTAGCAGTGTACTTAGCTCGCAAATGGATAAACCGATTCCAATGCTGTTTTCTTTTTTAATTGAAAGCTGGTTTAATCCCATTAATTCTTAGCTAGATAGTCACTTCAGATATTAACCTTATATTAACCAAGTTCACAGTTTTTAAGGGTTTATTTTTTGTACCGGGTTTTTTTATTAAATTAAAAATCGCAGTAACTATCAACTTTAAACATGGAAAATACGTAACAAAAAAGAAAGAGATCAAAAAATAGAATAAGATGCAGCAATAAAATACAGGGTACTCTATTTGAAAAAACTGAAATATCGATCTTTCAAAGTTGTAAAAATAAAAAAATATATATAACCGCCCTAAAAATAACTTTACTATGATTTTTTTGTATTGTATTTTTTATATTAAAATTAACATAATTACTCTCAAATATTTATTACATATTTCAAACATTCAGAGTGTTACTTAGGAAATAATAAATGGTGTAGCACCCCAAAAATCAAGTCCTATTAAGTATTGGAAAGTGTATGAAATTAAATTGTGCAGAACTTCCGTCGCCTCTGATGCACAGTATAACATATTCAACGTTTCCGAAAAATTAAAAAACAAAATTGATTTTGCGAATTTTATTTTTTTAAGGTATGTAACGCCTATAAATTAAAATAAAAATATGTCTGCAGTGTTAAAGTAAACGTCACAACCATGCTATGCGTATGTCTTAAGTGAGTTTTTTCATTGCAAAATTTTATCAGTTTGGATAAGCGCAGTATAATACTAATCATAACAATAATGTATTCTCAAAATTATATATAACAAGTATAGACTGATTATTGATTTCGACATTTTAGATAGAATTTATTCGGCGAAGTTTTGAACCAATGTCATTAATTCTTTGGAGGGGATAAGCAAATATATTTTTATTGAAAATTTATTGTGCTTATCATAACTTTTAAATATTTGCAAGATTTCAAAGCATTTGATTTTGCAGATTCAAAATTAAATTGCAAAATGTTCGGCCCAGTATTTTCGCAGATTATTATCTGTCTAATAGAAATCCGGACGGACGGACACATAGACGGAAACGGGAGACCTATTTCTTCGTACTCTAGGGGTCATGAAAGGCGAGAAAACGTAAAAGCAGAGAGTCGGCCGACAGACTCGATTACAATACTTCCTTTATTTACGCTCGGGAAGTAAAAAGGTTTAATGTTGTTTCTTAGTTGAACTGTATCGTATGTTAATGCAAACATGGAAGTAGGAAAAGATTCTACCTCCATAATGCAAACTGACTAAAAACTTTTATACAAAATTCCAAATCTCCGTCTTATAAAAATGTGGAGTTGTGAAATCGGAACTGTTTTAGACTTTATCATTATTTCAAGTTAAATCTCTAGTAAACTATGGCCTCATTTTAAAATCTACCAACACCGTATTATTTTATCTCCAAAATCCACGAACGCGGCACCCTACAAAACTACGTTGACTCGGCTGTCAGTTGTGCTCCCATTCTGCTAAAAATCTTGAACAGTCCACTGGGTGCGGCCGTTTTACAGAAAACCGTATTAAACACTTGGAAATATTTTGAAATTCACACGAATTCACGCTTAGATCTGATTTTCATTACTTTACAATGTATGTATTTATGTAAAATACTATCCAACCATGTTTCTACAGTTTTCTACAGCATACGGATGTGAGAAGATTTCAAAAGTAATTTCCTCAAAAATATTTCAAATGCGACTGCCAAAGTTAGTGCATGATTCAGTTAATGTGCGCTTTGCGCACCGAATACTTAGAATGTTGCTTTGTTCACGCTAAGAATGAAAAGTGGAACAGTAAGCACTAAAATGCTTTTAATGAAAATTTATTGTCTAAAACTGTAAAAAAATATTCTTATTTAATCTTTCCGTACTCTGATAATATACCGAGTGACTACTAGTGTTTGTGATTTTTTGTCAGATTGGTAACCTATTTAAAATTTTATGATGGCATACCTGGGTGTCAAAGTGACATTTATGACAGCTGCCATCGCCTTAACCAATCAAAAAGTTCCTTACCCGTACTCATGTCAAAAGTGACAACTGTTAAACCATTTGTGAACTGACGTACTAGCACGGATGCCAATAATTCAGAATTGCCAACACAAAAATTTGTTTCAATTATTAATACCTTCACCGGTGGATAAAATTAACGCTAATTTCGAGCAAATTTTTCAGTTATTAAGCAAATTTGACTACCAAATACTGATCAGATTACATATTCTAAGAAAACGTTAACGTGGTAATGCACACATACACACATGCACGTTTTTTTGAGTGTAAAGTTTTAACACCTACGCCAGAAAAAAGAACTAAATATCATGGTTCGGTATTACTTACATTTATTTCTAAATACAGGTACTCTACGTAAAACTTACACTTCCATTTTGGTTTAAATTTCCTCCAGAACTTGACGATAAAAGCGGCTGCCGTTCATCGGTCATATTTACAAACACAAATTTACACCCAGTGCAAGGAACTACAGTTCACTAAATTATGTTAAAACACTTATCTTGTATTTGGTTAAATAATCTTAAAACAATGATTATTTGCTTAACAGAACGGCAGACTGAATAATATTTGTAGTAAAGTGATACCTCACAATGCATTGATCATATCGTATGTCGCCCCCACTGTAAAACCTCTTATTTACGCTTCCTGACTTCAACCCCGTTTACACTCGCTTGAAGCCGACGAAATTAAAACTTGGCAAATAAATGAAGACACATTTTTATTGGATACAGTTTACACATAATAAAACTTAAATATTTGTACATAAATCAGCGTAATACAAATAAAATAAAAACACTCGTTTTTACTTAAATCCGCTATTCCCTTTTTTCTTGGAACGCTTTTTGTGTATTCAATGACAAAAAGTAAATGAACTTCCCAAGATAAACGAAAATAGTACATGTCGTAAATAAAATGTAGCGGTATGAATGAATTTTCTGGAAAATGAAAACAAAATAATCGCGTTGTACCGTAAAACTATACCTAATTAAAAATTTTAAAATGACATTTTACGTACGACTTAAATTTGCATTGAGTGGCATTTAACTTCCCATTTTAAAAACAGGTGACTTAAGCATATTTGAAAGCAAAATGCGTTGCTATTGTCATGGTTGTCGAAGATAACGCAAAAACTAATCTATGAAAAATAAAAAACGACGAAAATATATGCATTTCGCTTCAATTCTAAGGTACTAATTTGGAAAATCCAATTTCCCTGATATTCCTTGACCTACTTTAAAAAATTACCCCAATATAAAATTCGCATTATAACTAAATCCGACAACAATATGTACAAAATTTGATTCATTCTCTAATGATAATGTTAATTTATAAATTAGTAGGTATTGGCACTTTCATTGGCAACTTAAAACCGTTAAATTATGCTTTATTATTCTTTGCTAAATTATGTGAGGCCCAATTGAGAGAAGTCTTCCACGAATTCGAAAGGGCTTCGTCGAATTTACTACGAAAGTGATTTAGAGCGTCCTCTTCCGACTTCGACAAAACCTAAAAAACGCACAATCACACCAAAACAAACACCACAAACCCACTCACCAAAGTGTCTCTTATATAATTAAGATCTTTTTCCGAACTTAGTTCCGGCAATCCCGTAGAAATCATCATCGCACACAACGACAAAATTAAGTTACCGTGCTTCCTCAAAATCAAAAATGCTTTCTCGCAATACTCTTGAAAAATTTTAAACTCTAACGTGTTCTTCTGTCCTCTATTAATGACGTATTCGAAATCGTGAGTGAGCACGAAAGGGACTCTCTCTCTTTTAATACCGAACTTCTCTTTGAAGTGACCCAAAATGTGGCCGAAATCTATGTGAAACAACTGACCCGACTTTTTCACCATTATGTTATCCGAATGTCTGTCTGCTACTCCTAATACGTACGTCGCTACGCAATACCCTGCACATGATAAGGTGAATTCGTTTATGGCTTTGTTTAGGGCCGCTTCGGTCGTATTATAGTCTTTCAACCATGCTGAAAAAAAAGAAATAGAGATCCAAGCAATGATGTGGGAAAGCTGCGTACCTAAAATTGAGCCTTTTCTAAACGCCGAAGTCGCCGAAAACACACCCTTATCCTTCTGAATATTCGCTATAGTTTCCGCATTTAATACTACTTCGATCATACCAGCTCTATCAGCTAAGGATATGCAATTGTAAGGATTCATTCTGAAACAAATTAAGTTAGTTATTTTGTATTTTACGTAACGGGTGTCCCAGGTTGCATTTATGAGGCAATATCTTGCTTATTAGTATAGTTATATAATAAAAGCTGAGTTTAATGATATTAACGAGAAATTGAAATGATCAGTTTTTAGATGTTCAAAGAACTTTATTTGTATAGTTTAAGATTTGCTCAAGTCAGATCTTAAAATTCAGAAAATAATGTAGGTGATTATTATACATATTATAACTACATAGATTTTTGCATAAATAAACAAACAGTGACCTTCTGAAGCATCAGAAATAATATAAGTATTTTAATTGTTTATTTTTGTTATTGTAAATTGCATAAAAATTAAAATATGGTCAAAATTATTAAAATAACTGCAGTTAGTACTGTAAAAGGGTCCATCTGCCGAATGGCTACTTCCATGTTTTCTCGTCGTTTTATGACTCCGATATTCCAAAAGTAAGTTTCCCGTTTCCACCTGTCTCTGTTGTCTGTTTGTCAATGTCGATTTTTATTAGACAGATAATCTCCGAAACTATTGGACTGATTGTTATCAGATTTCATATAGATGGTTAAACGGTAAAGAAAATTTGGCTAATCGTACCCGCCAACAATTTGATGAGGTCCCTCAATTTTTTTTTTTGCAAACGCCATTTAAATTTTATAAAATAAAATGCTCCTATACTTGTGGTTTATGCCTCCACGTTTATTTTTTGCTGTAGGCTTTCAAAATCACATTGCATCATCAGACTTTACATCAGTGTAAGAGCACTGACATGTTTTGAACTCCGTGGTCGTGCGTAAAAATGTTAATTACTCACGCGAAGGTCGCTGGTTCGATTGATTCATAGGTCACATTTTTTTTATTAATCAAATCAAGAACGATTCACCTCATTTTCTCGAAAACTTTAGATTACAGGAATGTTGCGCCCGCCTATATGATAAAATAAAAATCACCATAATAACAACTGCAAAATAATATTCCAACGTTTTGCTCTATTCGACACATATACTTATTTATTTTGACTTATAGGGGTTACCATAACAAATAAAATTCGCAGAATTAAATTTGCTTACTTTATTGTACTTCTGAAGCGAGGAAAGTTGTGTCTAAATAACTTTGGACCAATTTTTTATATTTCTAAAACCACAAAATTTATTATAGTGTACCGAGGAAAATTTCAGTTAACCGGAAGGTAGGGCTCCAAATTTTTTGTATATTATTTTAAATTAAAAACTCATCAGGAAGTGTGCTATTGTTTTTCCAAATTACACAATTTAGATGGGATTTATTCAGCAAAATTTTGATTTGCGATTTACCGTGTTTCAAAGCAGTAGGTTTTGTATTTTCTAGGATAAATTTTCAAAATTTTCGTGCATTTTAAATACTTCCCCAAAAATATAAATGTCAAGGGTAAAAAACAAGAGTGGGTTAATAAACCACAAACATAGAATCAGATTATTTTATAAAATTTAAATAGAATTTACTTAGTAAACTTTTGAGATGACGTCATAAAATTGTTGTTGTGGACGAACAAATTTTCTTTAGCTTTTAATCATTTACACGATAGCCTTGAAGTGTACTCAAATTTCCATAGCAATCGGTCCTGTAGTTTGGAGACTATAATAAGTCTCTAATAAAATCACCAAAATAATAGGTAAAGACGGACGACATTGCGACAAAAGCAGGAAACAGATATTTTCGATTTGTAAAGGAAGTAAAAAATTGGTCTAAGGTTATTTAGACAGAACTTCCCTCGCCCCTGAAATACAGTTCAACAAATCCTGCTTCTTTAAAAATTATATTTTTTTGTGATAATATAAGAAAGATAAGAAAAAAAAAGCTCCATAAGGGACGCAAGTCGCTACGCTATCGAGATATCGTTCCCTCTCCAATTATAGCAGTATAAAACTTATTATACAATTTGGATTTTTCTGCGAAACTTTGAATGCCTAGAAAAAAACCATAACGGATCCATAAACCACTAGTACAAGAGTATGTTATTTTATAAAATTTGAATTGCATTTACTAAAAAAAAAATTGAAAAGACGTCATCATATTTTTCGTGGGATGACCAGCCAAATTTTAGTTGGTATATTTTAGCGTCTACGCGATATTCCTAATACATATATGTACATATAAAATTTAACAACAATCACTTTCGGAGATTATCTGTCAAATTAAAATCGACACAAAAGGTCAGACAGACGACACGGGGACTTACTTTTTCATACTCTTCGGGTAATGAAACATCGAGAAAACATGAAAGTAGTCATTCGCCCAATGGATCCTATTACAATACTTCCTTAGCTTACGTTCGGAAAGTAATAAAAATTATATCACTGGTAAACCTTTAAATTAATGTAAAATGTACTGAAAAAGAGTATCTCAGGAATAATACACCATTATATCAGAAACCCACGATGATGGAAAGTGACAGTAGCGCCATTTGTACCAAAGTGCAACTTCTCGAAAATTATCATCTCGCATCAAACAGTTGGTGGAAAAAAAAATCTGATATGGTTTTCGTTAACCAAAAAAAAAAGCTATTATAGAATTTAACGGAATTACAAAATGTTAAACATTTTATAATGAAAACATACAATCTGATAGTTATCAGTGTTTTAGGAAATACAACTATCTAAAAGACCCATGAATTTCGAAGAAATAATCTTTTTTGCAAGATGTAAGTTTCTATACTATTTGTTACAAAAAATATTTGCATTATTTAGTTGTAGTTTTCGACGCGTGTTGCAGGCGATTCAATATCTTATTAAACGTGGCTTTTATATTAATAGCTCTGTTATTGACAAAGGTAGAAGTGAAGTAAATGTTCCAAGTGCATCTAGCGTGGTATAACCTCTTATAAAAGAGTTTGTCTACTAATAACTTAAAATATATCACCAAAACTCATCAAAATAGGGTAAGTTTAATAACTAGAGTGGAAATATTATGATAAACAATGACGTTATCTTAAAACTATGCATATTTTCATATAACAAGCGATCAAAGAAACCCAATCACCTTTTTTTCGGGAATATCATCTGCCACATCTGTCATTTCGATGTCCGTATTTCATTCAATCGTTTGTTTTTTCATGAAATTAATTTTAATTCAAATTTGCATCACGTACACTTCCTTATAACCTCACTTTTTTGACATATCGTGTCGATATAGATCAGACAAACGTTCTAGTGGCATAAGATCATCCACAAATAACTAGAAGGGCTTTTTGATCCCTTGTAATCTATTTCTTAACAAAAGCACGAAAAACATTGCTGAGCAACAAAAAAAAAACAAATGAAACACTGTTGCGTCTACTGTGGTACATGCTTCTCACAGTATTTTCACTCTACTAATAATATACTAAAATCAGTGAACACAACGTGCCATCATTAACTTCACCTGTTAAGCAACCTCCCTCCACATTTTAATTTTACAAACCTTAAATCTAAGCCTTCCCGCTTCCATAACCTATCCATAATTTTCAGCATCTGCAGCGTGAGCATATCTTGCCGCAAATCGTCGCCATCTTTAAAAATTATATACACGTCTTCGCCATATGAATCGGAATTTTCGAGGACGATCCACAATGGCCGCATTTTACTATCCATTATCCTACATTTATCTAATTTTAATCTAGAACACCTATAACTAGGGTCCAACGGACTCCTTATAAATTGTACAGTCTCATCTATATGACATTCCGTTAAGTAGTCTTTTAAATTCAACTTAGCTTTCTCTTTGCTCTTATTTTTCACGTGCTCTCTACTGTTCCTCAGTTTATCGAGGAATTCTAACTGTTTCAATAACACTGGCATGTGCTCTTGACTGCCTCTGCAATAAGCTTCTAAAATTAATCCAAAGCGTATCGATACTGAGGCCACTTGCAGCTCCGATTTGAGGTGCCAGAATAGGTAGTGGCCGATTTTTTGATTATTTAGTGCCCTTTTTATTAAAAATTTCACTAAATCACATTCTAAATACATTTCGTGTTTGATTGCTTGTACTAATTGTAAAAGATACAACAATAGATCCTCGTCACTGTAAACACAATCATTAACAAAATTATGATGACGTTGATTTAGTACTTACCTAACGTTTCCGAGACATTCTACGGCAAAACTTCGAACTCTTTGATCCGGATATGCATAATCTAACAATTCTAGTGCCTTTTCTGGGGGAAGTTTAGGCCAGTCTCTTAAAAGCAGTGTTACTTCACTAACGACTTCTTTGGTGTCCCAATCGATTGATGATAAAAGTTTGGGTAAGACTTCCGGGTGATGTCTTTTCCAATACTCTTTTAAAATCCAAATATCCTTACGATCCTGCGATGGGAAGTGTTTAATAAGAATTATATATTTATCCTATCGCTTTACTTGTTCGTGGATCTCGTATAAGGTATCGTCCAGTAGGATTTTATAACAGTGTTCCACGTTTCCCTGATCTATACCGTTATTTACATGGTTTTTAGGTCCCTGAGCATAACTCATCATCACCTCTGGCGTGGGGTAAAGGATAGATTGATCTTCAGCGAAACTGAAAAAACGAAATATGTAGTCTAAAAAAGTAGGACTTTTTAGTAAGTGGAAAACCCTACCATTGTTGCTCACGACAAAACAAACTACAACAAATTCATTTAAACTACAAATTGTAAACCCTTGGCAGTCGTCAAACCTCGAACAAGGACGTACCGTCTGCAAGTGTCCCATGTATCTGTATGTAAGTATGTCACGAAATAATTTAGGAATATTTGACGTATAACACATTCAAGTTCCAATAAAAACATCTTTTTAAAAAAGATACCAAGATAAGATAATTATATAAATATATAATAAATCTAAAGGTGTAAAAATATGTGGGGTGTACGTTAAAAGATATGCAACTATGGTGAGCAAATAACCAAACACATTCTTTGTGACAAAAAAATTTCAGTAATAGTTTACGGCGCATGCGTAATCTTTTACCGACAGACCGTTGTGACATTCTGTATATTCTTGTTAGATCGCATATTGTAGTGGGTAAAATATATTTTTTTCCGTTTTAAACACGGTAATAAGACGTTATGATAATTTTATGTTTGGATATTGTTAGGCTCCATCATAATAAAGACATCAGAAAGATTAGTGTCCTTTAAATTTAACTCATGAAAGGATTACCGCTCGAGAAAAATGTTTACTAAATTATTTATGATGTGCTAATACCTGGGATACAAAAAAAAATACTGGAAGAACATAGATATATATTAATGCATGCTTTAAATGAAAATAAATAATGAGATAAAAAATGTTTTCCTTACAAAATAATTGCTTACCTATTTAAATGAAGAGTTAGGGCCGTTGCGATTTTACTCGGATTATTAACTACATTTCCTAACGGATTAAAAATATCCTCACACAACATATCATTTGCAAAAGTCCACATATACAGAGTCATTGCACCATTTTTAAGTTGATTTTTAAAATCGTAAACAGCTGTGTTAGCCCACGCTATAGGAGTGATCAGCTCCTACACAGAAAAAATAAATACTTTTTTCACAAAATTCTCGCCATTACCTTATTATTTCCGTATTCTTTGCCTTTTTTAGATCTAACTAATTTACTAGATTTAGGAACTTCATAAATGCAAAAACACAATTTCGCATTTCTTGGTATATTGCACACTAATATATCAAAAACTAAAGTCTCATTAAATAAACTTTCATTCTTGTCATTTATTGGTTGGATGGAAGCTTTAAGTCTTTCACAAAGAGGTTTACCTCCGTGGAAAAGTCCCGCCTGAATCCCAATCTACAAAAAACGAATTACACACAACCTAAAAGCAAATCTTCAAGTACCTCATTGGTTTTTCTAAGATCACAATTTATCCCACTAACAATGTTCAGGCTTACACTGAACCTTTTCTCGATGTTCCAAGCAGACTTATGCTTGGCTCTTTTACGCAGGGTTAGCGTTGAGTACGGCGGTCGCATTTTCTTATCAAAATTATCCACGCATTCATAATCATTATCAACAATCACTAGAATTAAATAAAATTAAAGTATGGTAAAATTTTGCAATTCCAAACTTACCAGGAACATTTTCAATTCTGACGGTTACTACGGTTGGAGTGATATCTTTTGATAAGGAGTCTTGGATATATTGAAACTGAATTATTTGATGGTCTCCTACCAGAAACTCATCCTGCCCACACACTTTCAAAACGTAATCGTGATAACTTTCATTTCTTTTGTTTAAAATGTTCGCCTTCTTTGCAAGGATCAGTTCCAATAGTTTGTTTGGTTTGATAAATGGGGAAACGTTAAACGTGAAAGAAACCTAAAATGAAATTAAAGAGAACTGTTGGTGGGCGTCGAAGTTATCGGCAACGAACACACATGCAAACAAGGAGTTTGATTGTTTTATAGCATCATTCTGAAATATTTTTAAAAATACAGTGTGGACACTAAATAGGGAATCATTAAAAATATAATTGAGGAGTAAAATTTGACATAAATGCCCAATATTATTATTATTTCTCCCTCAGTTGTTTGTTGCGATTTTATTAAACAGATGATCTAAAAAACAACTTAACATCTATGCATCCTCCCCAAAAAAATATTGACGTCATTTCATAATTTTATTAATAAATCTCACCTAATATATATTTTTTTGAGTCAAATATTATAAAAACATATCATACTAGTTGTGTTTTATAGGAATAAGTATATCAATAATTTTTCATTTTTTTTTTTGAAGATTTTTCTTGTATAAATAATATTTTTAATGGGAACTTATTATTTTTTAATTTTATTTTTGGGCCCATTTGTCCAAAATAAAAAGTTCCAAATTTGATGATAAAATATACATGAAATAAAAAATCGCTTGAATGACTGATTCAAAAAGAGTTTTGCTAAATTTTGACCACATTTATTCCACTTTTGAACGCACTGTAAATAAACGAAATAGATAAAATTTACCTCATTGTCATCAAACTTTGTGCTAATTTTGATATTTTTCTTCTGACTTAGGGTTTCAGGAAAATTTTTGTTTCTAGGACAAAGCCTTGGCGGAAACTGATAATACAGTTTTTCCAGCCAGGTGTACTTCCCCCGCTTGACGGCTATTTCGTCACCCAGTTTTCTCATTTTAAACCGAAAATCATTAATTTCCGGGTTATTCAGTTCATCAAATTCTTTCACACCTTGAAGAGAAAATTAAGGATTGGAATTTTCTGAAAATCGACATACTTCTCCCAATCAAATGTCCAATTTGGACATTAATTTTATTATCTGGTTCTGTCCCCAGGCGCTCGATTTTCAGTACAGCGCATGTCGGCTTAACATCACAAATTCTCCTTGATTCATCATGAAGTTCTTCACGTTCTGCCATGCTATTGATGCACGTGAAGACGTACACCGACATGTCATGCAGCTTTCCATGGAGAGGGTATTTGGCCGCTTCTTCCCAGAGATCCTAAATTTGAAAATGTTACGAAGGCGACACAAATGTTGTCGGCTTACCTCTTTGATGTCTGATAGAGTGGCATTGTAGGATACTTTGAGTAAAATTACAATTCCATTAGGCATCAGACATGTTAACTCTATGGAATCTTCTGGGTCAAAAGACCAGAAGTCTGGGGAATATTCCCGGGGTATTGGGACCATTTTTGGATTGTTTTCGCGCATAACTACTTCATTATTATTCACGAATTTATCAGAAACTAATAGATAAACGAATTTCCGGCGCAAAAACTATTTCCTTGGGAAAATTTGCTGCTTCATTTTCAGAAAAACCCAGCATGAAGCAGTGGTTAACCTACAAATTAAACCACTTCCGTACGTAATATACGTCTAAATAAATAACTTTCACTAAAAGTTAACTTGTTTTTAATCACATTATCACTTAATTTACCTATTTATTGTAAATAATCTCCCTGTATCGTTTTCATCATACACCCATCGCCCATAAAAACAACAATGCTACAACCTAACGACACAAAAAATCACTACTCATTTCAAAAACACTCATCACTTTCTACGTCGTCTAATCCCGATTTAGGTCTTTAACACTAAATTAAACAAACTCACACAGTTTTCGCTTCACCTTTATATAATAAAAGGGTTGACGACACCTTTGTTTAGTAGATTACTCATTATATAAACAAAATTATTTGGGGAGTTTCCGTCAGGTTGGCAGCCCGTGAAAACGTGACGTGGGGTGTAATTCCAAGAAAAGCTCAAGGAAAGTAATTCGAAAAGGTAAAAATAATGTTTGATAATTCATTACGAGTGCCGCGATTGTATAAACTTGCTTCAAAAGTCGCAAAAGAAGTAAGTGAAGGTAGAGGCAGCATTAAACAACTCGTGTACCAATGTAAACATCCCGTAAGTTTTGAGGTTATCTCCACATGCTTAACCTAATAACACTGATTTTGTTTGCAGAACATTAAAGCGTTGTACGCTTTGGTCGTACACACTTTTAAAAAGAGCGACGACATCGAAAAATTATTTGCAAAATCTAAACTCTTAGTTAAAGAACCTAAGTTAAACCCGTGGCTGGCGAAGGTTCTTGTCACTGAGTTGCTGTGGGGCAAGATGCGCTTGCCTGATAAATCAAAACCTATTAAAACGATTTTGGCTTACAAGCAGATTTTTAAAGCTCACTTGAGTGATTTTGCTGATGATTTTGAAGAGGTAGTACAAGGTAATTAATTTTTCTTTCTTTTTACAGTTGTGATGGAGGGTGATGTGAATACTGAGTATGAAGAACCTCTTATGCTTCCCCCACACACTAAACAAGCGTCGAAAGCGATTTTGCTTCTGTTGTTTTTTAGTTTTTTGATGTTTACGCTTCCATTTGGGGCGTTCTATGGCACAAAGTATTGTTTAAATGAGTATTTTCATGTAACTGGATATGCTAATACAGTGTGGTCAGTTATTGCAGCTGTTGTAACTGTTAATTTAATTATAGTCGTGTATGCATATATTGGTTATCATGAACAGGAGTATGATGATGAAGGGAATCCAATTACTGATGATAGTTCTGGTGTTTCCAAAAAAGATGATTAAATTAAATTTTGTATTGTAGTGTAAAAGGACGTGTGTATTACATTCCATGTTCATAGTGCATAGATATAATGTAAAGTGTAAAATAATTTTGTGTATGTGTTTTTGTAATAAAATTACTATCCAAATTGTTTTTACACTTTCACTATATCTATATCCTACAAATCCCATTAGAATTCACTTTCATTTTTAACACTTATTACAATGTGCAAAACCTATATTCTGGTTGTGGAAAGTTATAGTTTGACCAAATGGGGCGAGAACATTCAGTTTGATTTATTAATGAAACTAAAGCTATTTAATATTTATTAGTTTTTACTTTCCGGAAATTTTGCTGACGCTGTATATCGAAAAATGTCAAAAAATCTGCAAAAATAGTAATTTAAACAACGGCCTTTCCCGTTGCGAGTTATATACTCGCCATTCTACCTTATCTTATATCCGTAATTATTTGTAATTTGAACAACTAATACGACATACGCACGTTAGTAGCCATGCAATGTCCATTGAGGTTGCTTTTTTTTTGTCATGCGATGTTAAAATTACATTATATGTTAACACTATCGTGTACTGGTTCCGATTTCTGAAAAAATACTGCATCATTTTTAATCGCGAAATTATTTTTATTATAATGATGTTTTACCAAAGTTTATATAATTTTAGATTATCTTTCTACCACTAAAAACAAGTTTGGGTGACTCACTCCACCTAGATTGACTCATAATGTTGGTAATCAGTTATTTGATAAAAATGTCTCATTTATGTGAAGAACTAAAAACAAGCCCGCGTGACTTAATTGCGGAGAAATGTACCTAAGTAAGACGTGAATTAATGTTCACAAGAAAAAAACAATTTTATTGTAATTTAAATTATAGTAAGAGAATAAGTAGAAATCTTCATCTAGTGAATTTCTAGCAAACAGCTGTTTTCCTGAATACAACCCAGAAATTTACTACACAAAAATAATGTCTGTAACGGTATAGATTCAAATTACACTAAACCAATACAAAATAATTAATAATAATTTATTAATTATAGCAGTTCGTATCCAATTTTAATATTTTTTTTTTAACTTCGGCGAATCGCTTTAAAATTATCTAAATATAAAACACACAGTTTGAAAGTTTGGGTTGAAAATCTTTAACTTCTTAATTTACTGGAGATAAAACACCAATTTGCTGTCAGTTAACGCATTGTGTTATCACTTCTATAATAGATATATGTGATAGGGTAAAAATCCATTGGAATTTAAAATTGTAACAATAGCAATTTATTTATAGTTGTTTTACTGCAAGTATTATCTTAATAATATGTTGTTATTAACGTCTAGTGTGTATTTATATATTGTTTACATCGGCATGCAATTCAGTATCTAAAAGATTAATAACAAAATGTTATCAACAGAGAAATGTTATAAAAAATATCTTTTAAAATTGTGATGTTTTTAGTGGAAAAACCCAGATATGTCCGGGTGAATACCCTCAAAAGCAGCGTCAACGAAGTCATCGATGGTTTTAGGAACGAAGGCTGGGTCTTTAAACGTCACGCAGACTCTAATGACTATATGAGTTTTTTGGAAAATGTAACCAATTTAGGTCCACAAGAATTCATGCTAGACATGCATATTCCATACTTATTAATCTTCCCTCCAAAAACAACGTTCTACAAACACCAAGCATATAAAAATGGAACCATTATTTTACAAGACAAGGTATAAACAAAAATCATGCGATTTTGTTGCCGGTGACGAAATTTTTCCAAATTCAGGCGAGTTGTTTACCGGTCCATATCCTCAATCCAGAACCAGGTACCACAGTTCTGGACATGTGTGCAGCCCCTGGAATGAAAACCACTCAATGTGCCTCCCTTATGGAAGACACTGGAAAAATATACGCCGTCGAAATTGGTAGAAAAAGATACGAAACCCTTAAGAAAATTATAGAATCGTCTGGAGCGACAAATGTTGAAGCTATTAACGCAGACGTGTTGAAAATATCTGGAAGAGATTACCCAGAAGTCGAATACATTTTAGTAGATCCAAGTTGCTCTGGCTCAGGTATTTATTTGTTTTTAAATGAAATTAAAAAATACGTGTTATTGTTCATTTAGGTATCACCGATCGAGTGGAAATCGGACAACAAAGACAAGACCAAACTAAAGACCGCTTAGAGAAGTTAGCCAGTTTCCAGTTAAAAATACTGTGGTATGCTTTGACCAGATTTCCGAATGCGAAAAAAGTGGTATATTCCACTTGTTCAGTTTATCCAGAGGAAAATGAAGATGTCGTGAGACAAGTAGTGGAGACTTGTATGAATTACAAATTGGTATCGGCGAATCGGTTCGTCAAGAATCAGTGGACGAATTTTGGTTCTGCCGAGTTTGGGGATATAGGAAACTACTGTTTGTATGCTAGACCAGACATTGATCTGACTAGTGGGTTCTTCGTTGCTGTTTTCGAAAGAGTGCGTGGTGGAGACAAGAACCCGTTTTTGAATGAGACGTTGTTAACGCAACGGATAGAGGGGTGGAGAAATAACGAACTTGCGGGAAAAGCAACAAAGAAAAGGAGGAATGAAAATGTCGACCCGGCACCCGAAGAAACAGAAAATGTCTATGAAGAAATTAAACGTGAAGAGGTTTCCGAAAAAAAGATAAAAAAGGAAGATGAAGTGTCAGACACGAATGTTGTTTCTGAAGGAACGACCGAAAACGCTAGCAAGAAGAAGAAGAAGAAGAAAAAGAAAAAGAAGAGTGAACGTTCAGATGACCAAATTATGTATGATGACAATAAACTTCAGGACCAAATTAACAACACTGAGGAAACTAATGAACAGAAAAAAAGTGGTAATGTAGTAAAGAAGACTAAGAAGAAACACGCGGATGGATCTCCTAAAAACGAATTCATAAATACAGACATTGTTAAAAATGAAGATGATAATCATAAAAGGAAAACAAAGAAAAAAGAGAAAAAAGATGTTGTTACTGAATCCGGTAACGAAAAACAAAAAAAGAAAAAGAAGAAAATAAATGCTTGAGAATTAGTAATTCTTACTTTACTAAAACAGCTTAAAATACATGGTTTTCATAAACAACAATTTATTTTATTTGCCCCTGCCCCTACTTTACTGATAATGTTAAATTGAACTACTGTGAATGATAACTTCCTTTTAATTCACGCATGTACAGAGTAAAGAGAATTTAAATTCTTACACTTCACTACTATAAGGGAAAAACCTGACACCATTCATCAGCTTTACTATGTTATTTTCTAACCAATAGGAACGATAGGTTGGTTGTTCATACGATCTTTGGCAATTTTAGTATAGTGTATTTGTTGTATATAAAAATTCTCACTTCAAAAGCAAATATTACTGGATATTTATTTTTCTTCAAAATATACGAGCACTTTTATAAATGTTTGTCCATATTCTTTGGTAATGGAACAAAAATCATGTTGAAAAATTAAATACAGTAGATAGTAACAATCATATTTCACTTCAAAAACTAATATACCTATATATAAATATACTGTTTAGAATATGAATGATTCTGTAAGAAAAATCGATCACGAATATACTATAAATAAAGTAAAATTTTCTTGTACTTTTTTTTTTTCAAAAAAACTAGAGATCCGTTTACGTAGCATCATTTTGATACGACATCACATTTGTAGTAAGGATGAATAAATTAATTTTGAACAGCGCTTAATCGCTTACATGATAAATTCCACAGCATAGTAGTTTCGGAGATTATGTATCCAATAAAATCGCCAACAGACAGACGACAGAACGAGGAAACGGGGGACCGATATTTTCCTATCATACAAGCCTAGCTTGCATTCGCGTAGTAATAAAAATTTGATTAAATAAATACATTAAGTAGGGGATTTCTACGTTGGCATTATTACGTGAATTAGGTAAAAAATGAGCGTGTAAATCACTACGACATAAACGAAATTGCTAACTCAATTAATGTAGCACCAAATAACAAAAGATTAGTAGTTTGTGACCATTTTCCCAAATATATGTTCCACAAATGACACGTCCCCATTTATTGACCTTCTTAACACGAAAACTTTTCTAGGCCGTAACACTAGTTAAATGCGAACAACTTTTGTACAATATGCAAGTTAAAAATTTGTTTCCTGATGGATTATTATTATTTCTGAAGTAATTCCACTGTTTTAATCTAACAATTGAGGTCACAAATCACAAAACTTTGTCTCAAGATTGGTAGCTAGCGTGGTAGTCGTTTTTCCTCACTTATAATTTCACATCGACTATTTAGCGCTCTAAAGCAACACGCAAGCTACATTATGGTCATACTACACACGTTTGTTATTCTTTTTCACATAAAAAATAGCCGTTTCGACGTAATCTACCGTTATGACAGATTGCACAATGTGGATACATCATAAATAATAAAAAAAACTACACCACTGCAAATAAATCTCGTTTAACGAATGCAAACTAAGAAACTTTAATTCGTTAAACCGAACCGATCCTCCGAAAGCACGAACTTGGTGTAGACGCCCTGTATCCCAAAAAGTGATTAATGGTAAAGTATCGACACTCCACATCGCATGTGAATATTTTACAAGCTTTAGACTTAGCCAAGGCGAGCTTCGATTAAATCTGTGTTACGAGCTTTCGTTTTCAAGTCCACTGGCCAAGCTTAGAGTCTATTGGAAGGTCAAGGCATGGGCTAGATCCGTACACTGTGTTGAAAGTGAAGTGATTCATGTAGGTGAGCGTGCTGTTAGTTAGTTTTCGCAGAAACTTGTAACGTATATCGGCACTTCGCGTGAATTTGTGCATTATTAGTTATTACCTCCACAATTATAGTTCATGTTTGGTATTTTTTCGGATGGTTTAAGGTTTCACCGTCCTATTTTATTATTAAAAATGCACATAATTTTTCCAAGTATAGCCAAGAATTTTGTCCGCTTCTAATTGTTGCAGTCGGTGGGATTTTCGTTATGCAAATTTTAATCGATATAACGGCATTTCCAGCTGCATCGTATTAAGCCATAAAGGGGCCGTTTCAGGTTTCAAGTGGAATGTTTTCGCACTGTTTAATAATAAAACAGAAGATTAATTAAAGGGGTTGTAATGCGTGCGTTATCTGATGACATTCCGGGCCTACGTTCATTTATAATTTACAGTAAGGCTTGAATTTACTTAATCTAAGTTTTAACTCTTGAACGATACATCACCATAAAGTCCCGTAAGATTTATCTGAGGGATAATTAAAAATTTCTGTTCTTTGTTCCCTTGACCTACAGTTTTAGCTGGTCATTTTTTATTCGCTTTGATTTCGTTATTTACATTTTAAGGATATATTCTTCACGTAACATTTATTGCTTGTGTGCTATTTTCCCTCTCTCTCTCTTTTTTTCTTGCTCGCTCTCGCTTTTTAATAGATAAAATTCTGCAAATATAACGTCTAGTAAAATTTTTTATAGTAATTCGGCCTATTTATGCATACATTTTTTTCAAAATATTTTGTGTAATAATTTTCTAGAAGGACATCAACTTACAAAAAGAGATACAGATATGTATTAATTTTGATATGTAGCATTTACCACTAATCATATCTTGTGTTCCTAAAATTTGAACAAAATTATGTGTTATTTTTCGATAAAATATATCATTCATTCGTAGTTTTGGGACATGTGTCTAAGCAGTTTCAAAATAGAGCAATTATCTTGGAAATATTTTCTTTTGTAAATATTATCAAGCCGAAAGTGTTGGGTTTAATATGTAGACAAAGACTAACTACACAGACAAAAAATCCTATTTCAGAGAGTATTTTAGGGTAAATATACAGTATTAGTCACTAAGCGCGCGCTCCTCCATATCTCATTATACTTATTTACTAGAAATGGAAAAAAAAGTCAAAGACAATTGTACAATTCTTTGAGGATTATATTCTAAACATATTTTCAACTATTTTCAGAGAGCCGGTTTACGAAACCTCAATTAAATTTTGAATGCGGGATTAAAGTACCATCGACTCTACGCCAATCCGTGTCGCTAAACGCCTCATCAAATGTGTGATCAATATAATCTTAATCAAATATTTAATTCAGCTTCCACAAATCGGCTCAGAGTGTTTTTGTTTTTAAGGCGTAACACAGAACTTATTTTTTTTTAATGAAACATCTATATATTTTTACATATTTTGATTGGCCTTCTCTTAGGGTTTACAATCACAGTTCATTTTTGGAATTGTGATGCGACGTTGCCACGTTATTCCAATTTTCTTGAAATTTTCGGGCAATGAAGGGTTTATAAAAAAATCACAGTAGAGTTATTTATAAAATCTGCGTTACATTTTGTAGAGAGGTAAAGTTGCGATTTTTTACTTTTTTAAGAGACACATCGCCATATTAAAAGAATGAGGACAAAAAATAGTTAAAATTAATTTTAGGGTTAAAAAATCGTACAACTTTGGTTTTTGACTTTTTTTCTCTCTAATAATTTATGAGATATCCAGTACCATGCACGTATATCACCTGTCTATTTTTTAAATATTTTTTTAATAGGGCATTAATATTCTTATGAGGAAAAATAAACATATCAATTAATTAATGTTAGTATTTTACGGAACAAAAGTCGCGATCTAGCTTTTAAGTTTGTTTTCTAATCAATATTTCTCGAATTTCCAGGATTTGTGAAAAATTTCTAAAGTTGTTTAAATAAAACTTCGTTTGCCTCTGAAACATAATCATTTAAACAAATAAACTATAAAACATAGCTGTACCAATTTTATTTTTTTTTATCCTACAAGTTAAAATAAAAATAGAGTTTGTTTATTAAAGAATGGGCAAAAGAATAATAGGTTATGTGTATACTTTAAGTGAAATTTTCTTAATAAAATATTGTTTTGACACCCTCACTTTTAGTAAGGAAAATAGGCATTCCAATTTAGATACTTAGGACGTAATTTTGAGTGAGTTAATCAAAAAAATTATTTGTTTATTATTCATTTTTTTGAGATAATCTATATACATTTTTTTTAAAAACTAGAAACATATGAAGAAACTACATGTACAAAAGCATGGTATTTTTGAAGATTTCAAATGAGACTAGCTGTACAAAATTTTGAAATAACGTTATCAGTTTTTACAAGTCATGAACAGATAAATTCTGATTAGTGATTTACTAGTCCACGATAATCTTAAAGTGTGTACAAAATTTTAGCAAATCGGTTTATGAGATAAACTGTAAAATTGTATATTCTAAAATCTTGTTTGAGCAAAAACCTCAATGTAATGCTCTATTAATAAAACACAGGTGTAGAAATAGTAATTTACACAACTAGTTCGGGATAGCCTGCTTCCCGCATGAATGCTTGTTTGCGGCACGACCGAAGGGAGTGCCGCATTTGCGTGAATGCGGGAAGCAGGCTCACGAACGTGTTGTGTACAATATTTTTTGCAACGAATAAACCTTTAAACTGAAGAAATTAACTGTGAGTTATTTATAAACAATGGCGCCGTCAACACATCACAATGTTGACACTACGCGAGTATTTTAAGGTTACCATGGCAACGGGAAGTTAAAATGCACGTGTGCGGGAAATTCGAACTCCCGCACTCTGGTGAATGCACGAAAGCCATCAAAAAAGATCATGAGTGCAAAAATATTATTTTACACACTTTAGATAGAATTCTTTTATCAAAATTTGAAGATGACGTCTTCACTTTTTTGGTGATGATAAACAACAAATTTTGGTTAGCGTTTTGCGGTTTATACTAAATTCTAAAATAGATCCGAGATTTGCCATAAATCTAGCCTGTAGTTTCGATGATTACTAATACACTGCCAGATAAAAAAACCTGGACACTTAAATTTTTTGTGGTTACCTGTAATTGGCGGAACTTTTGTAAAAAAAAACTAAAATGTAGAACATGAATGTATTTATCAACAGAAAGCGTAACTAAAACATGTGGAACAGAAAAAAAGTAAAAAAGTTGAAGCGTTAAGTACTCATTAGTGTAAAGTTACAAATATGTAAGTGTCCGGTTTTTTTTGTTTGTTTGGCAGTGTGATAACTGTAGTAACTGACAGATA